CCTACATAGTGGCTATTTTAATGGAAAAATCCCAAAAAACTAAAGTTCAACGAGGTGTTGTGACTGGCCGGGCACATACCTAAAAGGCAGAGAGCCTGTGCTCTTCCCTCCCAGGTGTCCATCACACGAGGACAGCTGTAGGTCCCTCTTTGTTAGGCCTCCTTCAAGGGCCACTCCATCTCCTGATTTCCCTTCCCAACAAACCACCCGACACACTGTAGTAGAAGTGGTAGCAGTGTTACAAGGCGGTTCTTAAAAGCACTTCTTAGTCGCTCTTTCTGGAAAACAAGATTCCAAAAATCCCACTGCCAGGAGTCATGTGAGGGGACAGGACTGTGTCTGAGACCCTTGTGATGGGCACCTGGCCTGTGCTCTCTAAACACTTCCTTTTTAGGAAAGATTTGTTATTGGGCCCTCTCTGGTGGTGCAGCAGGTTAAAGCATAGCACTAAGAAGCTAAAGCCCTTTGGCATGAGTTCAAGCCCCGCTCCGGAAGTGATCCCACATGGCGCGGCAGACCTCTCCTGACCCGCTGCTCCCCTCAGCAGTGTACTTTGTCAGCCTGCTCTGCTCCCCACTCTGTCTCTGGTGAATCCTCTCACCACACCTGAGCCTCTGGCCTGTACCCCAGTTCTGTATGCATACATAAATAATCTTAAAAAAAAAAAAGATTTGTTATTTATGTATGCATTCTGGGGTGCAGGCCAGACATGCAGGGGAAGGAGGTGAGAGGATTCAACAAAGACTGAGTGGGGAGAACACGCAGATCTACTGAAATACACTGCTGAGGGGAGCAGCAGGTGAGACAGGAGCAGTCTGCTGCCCATGTGGGTCAGCTTAATGGCTAAGATCAAACCTCATGGCAGTGGCTGTGGATGGCTTCAGAGTGCTGCGACTTAACCCCGTGCGCCTCCAGGGAGGCCTTGTAAATACTCTTACTGGAGAACTAAAAGGCCTGCACTGTCTTTCACCCATAGCAGACTCTCAGGAAACTATATGTTTTACCTATCTTGTAGAAAGAATGTTTTCTAGTGTCCTAGAAATGCAGAAAGATGTCCTGGAATGATGTCATGGAAGGGTCATGAGGTGGGACGAATCTGACTCCCACATTTCAGGGAAGCAGCGCCAGCGCCTTGCCTGGCCTATCTGGCAACGCAGATCAGTCTGCTGGCATGAAGCATCTCTAAGCCTGGACCTTGCTTCCCGTTCCCTTTCTGCAGGTGGCCTGGTGCCCTCGGGCCATCAGTGCTTGCTGAGTGACTAGTTTTTATGGCCTGCATTCTAGCATTCCCCGGAAACACAGGCACCCAAACCTGAAACCTGAAGGACGTAACCTCCCCCTACCCTCTCTATCCCATAACTGTCACTGTCAGATTGTGACAGTGGCTACTGCCTAGTTCAGGTCTGTTCTACAAACTATAGCCTGCAAAAGATAACCATGTACCAAGGCTACCAGCTTCTAAGTCTTGAAAAATGTACTTGAAGCCCCTCCCCCTCTGCGACAGAGGGCACTTTCTGCACTTGGCTGAGGTCTCTATGGTGGCACGATGTGCAAGCTGACATGGGTGGGCTGTGAGTCTGCCTACCCTGGGACAGGGCACATGTCCCATTCACTTTGTCCTCAGAGCCTAGCCTCAGGCCTGGCAGTCAGTGGGAGCAGGAAAATGCTTCATCGTGGTCATTAATAATGTATCCTGAGACCTTGTGACAAGTTTTCCAACATCCGACGTCATTTGACAAAGAGGCTCCGTGAAGTTATACAACTTGCCCAAGATCACACAGGGGGCAAGTGGTGAAAGGTGCCTTCCTGCCCCTGAGCAGTAACTGCCCCTCAACCCCCCATGGGGAATCGCTCCAGCGGTCTCAGGCCCCACCCACCCCTTACCTTGGCACTGTACTGGTTGAGCTCCCCGCTCTCGTGGCCTGCAATGATGCACTCCCCCAGGGGGCCCCAGACAGCGCTGGTGATCTTGGAGTCATTGCAAGGGATCTTCATGTAGGGCTCGTTGCTGTCTGTGCGCACAGCAGATGTCAGGTCCTGGGCCCTGGCGCCGCTCCCTTCCCCTGAACCTCCACCCTGGCCCCAGCCCTCACCGATCTGGCTTGGGTCGCGCAGGTCAAAGAAGCTCACAAAGCACTGGTAACCCATCTGTTTGTCTGTGGAGAACATGATGATATTGCCGCCAAAGTCAAAGCCACAGGTCCGGACAGCTGAATTGGTCTTCAGTAGGGCAAGCTGCTTCCCTGGGAAGACGCGGAGTCTGGGTTACTCCTTGCCCATCGCCAGCTGGGGGAGGAACTCTTCCTACCTGCCCAACATCAGTTCTGTCCTCCTGCTAGTAAGCCTGCCCACCACCCTCCTCTTCTCTGTGCCTCTCATCTTGTGACACCTTCCCACAGCCCCTCCAGAGATATCCCGCTAATGTGACACAGCAATGTCTTCCCCTCAGAAGGCGCCCTTCACAGCAAAGGCTGCGTCCCCAGGGCCCAGCAAACATTTACTGAAGAGAACAGCTTAATACAACTGCCATCTTCAGCTGCAGCAGTTGCTACCTGAACTTGCTAAAGCAAAACTCTCCAAAGTAAACACAGACCATACTCTGGAGCCCCCGCAGCAGACAACCCCCATGGCGTGTGCGCCCTTCGGAACAAAGCCACGCCTCTGCTCTGGGCAATCACAGGCTGCCTGGCCCTAGCCTCCTCATCTTCTCCTCTACTGCATTCCCCATGAAGCAGGAATTCCCTCCACATCAGCTGACTTGGACACGACACTTGCTGTGCTTTCATTCCCGCATGGGCCAAGGCGGTGACCTCGTTCTCATCCTTTAAGCCCCAGCTCATATGACATTAATCTTGGGAAACCTTTCTGGGCTGCTCCCTCTGCACTCCAGAAAATTAGCTGCCCCCTTCCTGGCCCCCACGGTTACCCCACGCTTTCTCTAACATGCTTTGCCGCCTACTGTCGCACCTCTTTTCTGATTTCTTTCCTATTTTCTTCCACCTTTTGCTTCTTGCACCAGGGAACCTCTTTGGGTTTATCTAACTCCCTCGAATCTGTTCACCTCAACAGTATATTGTAGGCCCTCAGTATATTGCTGGAAAAAATGAATACCCAGGCTTACCTGTTTCACAGTCCCACAGACGACAGCTGTTGTCAGCTGAGCCGGTGAGGACATGTTTGGTGTCCCCTGAAGAGTGTTAAGAAACATGACCAAGTTGACCTGAGCCCTTGTCTTCTTGGGAGCCCAATGGAACCACCTCCCCGATCAGGTCTGAGTCGCCTTTCTTCCTCTCTTGCCCCAGAGCCTTCTCATCCCCTCATTCAGGAACTTGTCCTGACAGTTCTACTGCCAGTGAATGGACTAGGGAGCAATTACACATTATTTTCCAGAACCACAAAACATGCCAAATTCCCAACCTCCAACTCAGCAGCCCCTCCAACATGGGCAGACCGCAGCAGCAGGGACTCCAAGGAAAGACAAGGATACAGTCGGCGTCCACACACCACACAGCTCCGGTATGGCCCGTGTAGGTGCCCAGCCTCTCGCCATTTACAGAGTACCACACATTGACGATCTGCAGGAGTCAATGAAAACGTGACAGGATGGCCCTCATCCAGCAAAGCAGCGGCCTACTTTACCCTCAGCAGGCTTTAGCCAGGCCAGATTCTGCCTTCTCCTGCTCATCTCAGGAAACAGCAGGTTGCTGGCGAAAAGCCCAACTCCTAGCTTTTCCTCCTTGTTGCAGGTAAGCGACAGAGGAATCAGGAGGCTTGTTAAAGTGTCCATTTGCCAATGTACCAGCCCTCCTCCAAATTCCTAATCCCTCGAAAGAATAAAACATTGTTGTGCCAGTCTAGAAAACCAGCAGCTAAGTGTCCTGTAAAAGTGGAGGCAGTGGCAATATGGTGGGAGGGAAGCAGGTTCCAGTCCCTGCTCAGTACCATCTCAAATACACTGCTTCTCCTCTCTGAACGTCAGCTTTCCCAACGGTAAACAGCCCTGACAATCATGCCTTCTTCAAGGGATAGCTGTGAGCTCCAATAAGATGATGTATGAAGAATTTAAATATAAATAACACTGATGAGGCATTTCTGTGCCCTAGGTACTGTAATAAGCAACTGATGTGCACCACCCTGGTGAAGCCTAAAGACAAGCCCATGAAGAAGACAATGTTAGTAGCCATATTTTATAAAAATACAAGTGTAGAAAGGTGAATTAATATACCATTGTCACACTACCAGTGGGTGCAGGAGTCAGAATTTAAATCAGGTTTGTCTGGTTTCAGAGCTCCAGCTTTTAACCATTAGAGCTCATTTCCTCCATATGGAGAGGCTGTCACTGAGTGGCAAGTGGGGCCCAGAAGGACAGACTGAAATGAGACCCGGGCCACCTTCGTTAAGTCCTGTGTCCCATGCTGTTCATGGGCCTGCTTTCCCTTCTACAGATGTTCTGTACCCCTGTCTCGGTATAAAGTCTTCCCCAGAACTGTCCCCTTCCGGCCCCCTGGACGAGCTGACCCTCGTCCCCGCCATCCTTCCATAATGCTTTTCTTCTCTCTGGCTACTCTCTCCTACCAATGGGGTCATTACCCACCTTTTCATATAGAAGGTTCTCACCCACCTACCCGCGGGGTGGGGAGTCCTCTGGTCCCTCTCTGATGGCAAAATTGGCTTTTCCACCACTGCCCAGACAAAACCAAAACTTGCCCCGGGCCCCTCCCGCCCGCCCGCCCGCCAGCCCCGGCCGACGCTCACGGGGTCCTTGGCCACGGTGAAGAGGAGGTCTCCCTCGCGGTTGTACTTAATCTGCGTTATGGACCGCTCATGGCCCTGCAGCAGGATCGGCTTCTGCGGGCAGAGGAGCAGCGTGTCAGAGCCCCGGGCCGGCCCCCGCCCCAGCCCAGGCCCCCCAGCTCAGGGGAACTCACCATCCCAGCGGTGCAGAGAGGAAGGCGGCAACGTGACAGGACCGGAAGAGGCTGGGAGCAACTTCCGGATCGCGGATCCCGCCCCCTCGTTCCCGGAAGTAGAAGGAAGCGGCGTTGCTATGGCGGCGTCTCTCGGTGGGTAGGCGGTCCCGCCGCTGAGGAGATTCCCAACCCCCAGCGGGCTTCATTTCCCACCCCTCCTACACTGCCTAGCGGTGACCGCCGCTCCAACCCCAAAAGGGGTCCGTCTCCACGCCCTCCGTGCTCTGCGCCACCCAGCGTCGCGCTCGGGCATCGGAGACCGGAGGGTGGCGAGGGTGGCTCACCAAGGTCGGCGTCCTGAGGGCCCAGCCGCGAGGGAGGCCAGCTGAAGGCTGGGTCGCGGGGGAGGCGCGCGGGGGTGAGGAAGGGTCACTCGAGTCTCCCTCCAGGGCAGGTGCTGGCTCTGGTGCTGGTGGCAGCTTTGTGGGGCGGCACGCAGCCGCTGCTGAAGCGGGCCTCCGCAGGCCTGCAGCAGGTTCAGGAGCGCACCTGGGCCCGGCAGTTGCTGCAGGAGATGAAGACCCTCTTCTTGAATACTGAGGTGCGTCTGTGAACGGCCTCTCTGAGAGTGGAGAGACAAGAATTTGGTCCCTAGAGTCAAATAGATCTGGACCCCACCACGTTCTTGCTAGAAACTCAGACCTGTCACTTGTCCTCTTGAGCTTCAGTTTCGTCATCTGTAAATTGGGAATAATAACGGTAACTGTTTTTAGGGCATTGTGAGGTGAAGCTTGGAGCGAGCCACACCGAGGATTAAGTGAGGTGAGGCACATGAAGCGCTTAGCATTGGGCCTGCTGCACCATCAGTGCTCAGTCAATGACTGCTGTTGTTATCATGATCCTCCCTACAGACCTTTCCAGAGGGAAACTCGGGGCTCATGTTGGCCCTGGGGAGAGATGATTAAGAAAGACATGGAGAATTATCTTACTAACAGTCTGGTGGGAAAAACAAAACAAGTCACAACTATCTCTCAGGCCTAAGGGCTATGAAAGAGGCACCCATAAAGTGCTGAGTAAGTTTAGAGGAGGAGGCTGGGGTTAGGGTACTGGGCGTGGGGTAAGAAAGATATAAACTGACGGGTTGAGGGAGAGACATTCAGGGTGAAGGCATGGAGTGTCGTTTTCTCTGTGCCCTGGAAAGGTTCTTTTCAGAAAGTCTGGTGCCCCTCATCCCTTATAGCCGCTCTTCCTGCAAGGAGAGGCATAGCTAGAAGCTTGAAGGCAGCTCTGCTCCCTCAGGCAATCGCACTGACTGCAGATTTCTTTTGTTTCCAGTACCTGATGCCCTTTTTTCTCAACCAGTGTGGCTCTCTCCTTTACTACCTCACCTTGGCATCAACAGGTGGGTCTCAGGCTTGGAATTGCCCTGGCTAGGGGTGGAGGCCGCCTGGAAGAGTTTTTTTTGGAGAGAGAGCCTGAAACACCTTGTTCCTACAAGAGAGAGTCTGTTTTGTCCGGTTCCCTCTTTGCCGGCTAGTGGCTGCCAGGGTTGATGTGAAGACAGGCTGTCTTGTGAGCAGCAGAAGGAAGGTTCTTGGTGCTGCACCAAGGGACTGGCTGGGGCACTCGTTTCCACTACATAGTACCCACCTGACCTTGAACAAATCCCTTACTTGAGTCTTGGTTGGAGATAATGGGGTTCATAGCATTGTGAGGATTAAATTAAGTGTATGAGAAGCATCTAGTTGACAACCCGGCGAGCTCTGTAGTTGTCAGCAAATATAAATTTCCCTTCCTCCATGCCTGCTGACTGCCCTGTTCCAGATACTGTGCTACCTTTACAAAATGTATTTCATTCTGTGACCCAGTGAAGCAAATGTGATATCCCTGTTTAGGAGGTGAAGTGACAGAATTTTGGGCAACTTGTGTCACTTAAGTGCAACTGTATGTTAGTGCAGAAGGATTTAAAAAAAAAATACTTATTTATGCAATTAAGACCTGGGGTGTAAGCCAGAGGTGCAGGGGAAGGAGGTGAGAGGATTCACCAAAGACAGAGTGGGGAGCAGAACAGGCAGATTGATGAGGTACACCACTGAGGGGAGCAGCGGGGAGACAGGAGAGGCCTGCTCTGCCATGTGGGTCTCCTCCCTGGCTGGGGATGGAACTCAGTGCTGCAGTGGCTGCAGGTAGCATCCTAGTACTGAGACCCAACCCCTTTTGCCACCATGGAGGGCCTGGGGCACAGGTTTTGGAGTCCAGCCATCTCAATTTGCTTCAACTTATGCAACTTCTTTGAGCCTTTGTTTTATCTGTGCAAGATGATGATAATACTCTCCTTGCAGTGAAGATAAAATGAGGCACAGAAAACTTGTGGAACATAATGTGTGCTTAATAGATGTGTTCATGAGTTCATTCAGCTGCATTCCTTGGGCTTGGGGCACCTGCCTGTCAGGATCTTGTTGGAACCTCTTTGAGTGCAGCCACTTTATCCTTATCAGCAAACCAAGGCAGTCTCAGGCTTTGTAGTTTAGATCATGGTGCTGGGCTCCCGCCACACAGAATTTGGAGTTGGGAGACCTAGGTTTGAATCCTGAACATTATTGTGACTTCATTTGGAAGATGGCATCTTTTTTAAAGGGCTTTTTTGATAATAAAATGAAAATGCCTGAAAGGCATTTTGTACATCTCAGAGATTCTCTCTGTTCTGATCACTCAGATCTGACACTGGCTGTGCCCATCAGTAACTCTCTGGCCATCGTCTTTACTCTGATCGTGGGGAAGGTCCTTGGAGAAGATGTTGGTGGAAAACGTAAGTCAGGCCACTGCAGTTGGGGAAGCAGCTCCTTGGGCTTTGACACTGCTGGTTCTCTCCCAAAGCCATGGCTCCTGGGTGGGTGTGGCGCCCACTCCCTAGCAGCTCCCCCACTGCCTGGGCCAAGTTTCCTTCCTCTGGCCTGACCAACCCCATCTGAGGCTTTTCCTCAGCCCTGCACCAGCTGCCCTGGTGTGGCTGAGTGCAGAGCCCCTCAGTTTCTACTCATTCTCCCAGGAGCACTTGCAGGCATGGTGCTCACCGTGACCGGAATTACACTCTGCATCGTAAGCTCAGCGAGCAAGACCCAAGCGCACCTCTGAATGGGACGGCGGCACCCGCCATGCTGCTGGGTGACTCCCGGAGCCCCTGGGCCACGAGCTGCAGGCAGAAGGCCTACCACTTCTCCCCTCTGAGCCTCAGCTTCTTCATCCCTGATGGGGATAATAGCTACCTCATGGATGGAAATAAGAGAACAAGAGGAAAAAGGTTTTATCTTTCAAGTGCTGTCCGCCGGCTGGGATTTAGCACAAGAGACTTTGCCCTCGCCCTTCACAACCCTTCTGCTCCAGCAGCTCTCTTCCTGACACCATATTAGGCACCCAGCACGGCTATGTTTCCTGTGATCTGGACCATCACCGCATCAAGGAGGGACTGCTGAAGGCCAGTGGCTCCCTGAGGGCCTGCTGCAGTCTCGGAGCCAGAAATGTAAACGGGGCCTCCAGGGCTCTGTCAGAGCGAGTTGGCTGGCCGGGGTGGGGCAGGGGAGGTGACTGGTGGAACCAGGGAAGAATGGCAGATAGCAGGAGCTGAGCTGTCAGATAGCATCGCTTATTCCACCTAGGAGGCCGGTGGACATCCTATTTGCCTGGCCCTGAGACAGACACACTTGTGAGCCACAGCACTGTCTGACTGTAGCAGTGGTGCAGTGCCTGCCCAGTAAAAGCCTGTAATAAATAGGCAGCAAACAGATGGAGGTTGGTAAGTATTCTTTTATTGTGACAGACCCGCTCCCAAGTTGTGCTCTCCTGACCAAGCTCAGCTGAGCCACTTTCTCTGGCCACAGAGCCCCATAGGAACTGGTCTGGGGGAGGGGGGCGGGCTACTCTACTCAGAGGGGAAAAGCCTGGGCTGTGGGTTTAAGAGCGGAGTGGGGAAGGACAGAGGACGCTGCAGTGCACCCTGTGAGCCCAGGGGAGGTGCTGGTTCATCGGAAACAGGCCTCAGGAAGCTGCAGAGTGGCCGTCCAGGTCTGGGCTGGAGCTGCTGCAGGCTCTCAACAGGGTGGGGTAGGAGCTGAGGCTGAGAGCAGCCCCAGCCTCAGGCCTCTGCCGCTGTCTGCTGCCCTCTGGAGGCAGAACGGAGCCTTAATTTAGCATCCCAGGTCCAGGCTCCAGGCTCCAGCCTCCTGCTTGGGGACCCAGGAGAGAAAAAGACTTCTCCAATTAGTACCTGCCCCCTCGTTTAACAGGTAGGAGAGGGCCCTCCCTGGTGGCACAGCAGGTTAATGCGCAGCACTATGAAGCGGTCCACAGCCACTGCAGCCTGAGTTTGATCCCAGGCTGGGGACCTGACCCACATGGCGCGGCAGACCTCTCCTGTCCCGCCCGCTGCTCCCCTCAGCAGTGTATTTCAGACTATCTGCCTGTTCCATCTCTGGTAATACCTCTCATCCCCACACCTCTGGCCTGTACCCCAGTTCTTGCATAAATTAAAAACAAAAGGCAGGAGATCAAAAGGATTAAAGCAGAAACACACAGTGGTCAAAGGCAGGAAATGGGATTTTGAGGAGACACTCAGCATCTAGGGGCAGAACTCTGGGACCCAAAGTTGCCAGTTTCCTGCTCAGGACTCAGTCCCAACTTAGTGCTTCCAGCCCCAGCCCACCTGATCCACGGGTTCCTCTGTCCTGGTGTCTTCATCTTCTGCTACTTCCTGCGCCCCTGCCGTCTCCCTCCTTGGGCCGGCTGCGCCATACACTCCCTTGACTGCAGGTGAGGAAGGCAGTGCTGGCTGGCGCCCAGCTCAGGCATCTAGGTGCTTCCCTGGTGCCCCCCTCCAGCCCGGGAAGCTTGCTTCACGCTGCCTACCACCACCAGCCAGGCCTTTCACTCCAACCCATCCCTTCCAGATCCCATCCCTGAAGTGTCACTGCTTTGCATCCCCATGTGCTGCTTCTCCCACATGGATCCCTGTGAAGAGATTTGGGACCGGATGTGCGCGTGGGGGAGCAGGAGGTAGCTGTGTGGAGGTCAGGGCCAGCTCCACCTGTGCATTCTAGCCCCCGGCCAGCCCCAGAACAGCAGGCCCATCTTGTGTTGCTGTCCGGGTAGCTGAGAAGAGCTGGGCCTCCAGGACCCCTCACCTGATGAGAGAGAGAGTGTGGGAACCTTGCTTTTTGGCTGAATGGCCTTCTGGGGTCTGGCGTAGAAAGCAGATGACCCTACTAGTCTTGGTTCCTCTGGAGAGGGCTGGGCTGCCTGTGCCTTGGGGCTGCGGGCCTGCGGAGGGACTGGGCTGTGGGTGTTGCTTACTCTGACCTCTACTCCCAGGCCAGGCTTAGCGCCCAGTGCCTGTGGGAGACTAGGAGGGCTGCTTTCCCTCTTCATAACCTGCATCCTCCCTCCCTGCTCCCTGCTGCCATCAGGCTGCCCCGGCCAGGGACTGAGCAACTGATGCCTGGCACTCAAGGGGCCCAGTGCAATCAGGTGCTGCCCCCATTTCCCCTACCCAGTGCTCACTGGCTCTTCTCTTGAGAACTCAGGTCTTGGGTTAAAAGGGGAGCTGATGCGCTCCTTTAGGCTCTACTACGCAGAGATGCCATGTCTCTCCCAGCATCCAACCTGGCAAGGAGGCATTTGGTCTACCAACTCGGAGTCCTGAGCTCTGCATCGAGCGTGGCTGAACGAGCTTTCAGGCCAGGCTCCGTCTGGGCCCTGCCGTTCAGCTACTGTGTCACCCTGAACAGAATACTTCACTCCTTTGGGCCTCATTCTCTCCTCTGGAAAATGGAGAAGCTCTAGTGAGAGAAAGTCAGAGCCTGAGCTACAGGGCCCCTCATCACTTACCCCCTGCTTATAGGGTCTAGACTTCAGATCTGGGGGATACCTGCAGTGAAAAAAGACAAGGCTTGCAGCAGGCAGGAGGCCATGGGTAGGTGGTTTTCTCCACTCTGACCTGCTACTCCACCTAGCAGAACGTACCAGCACCCCCCATGGAGCGAGGAGCGGGGCACCAGCAGCTCCAGGTAGGGGAGGGCCTTGAACTCATCCTCTCCAACAGCCACATAGTACCGGCCACTCGCCAGGGCCTCCCCTGCTGACAGTGGGAGCCCTTCCATGGTGCAGAGCCTGAGAGGGAGAGGAGCGAATAAGGGCCAGTGGGAAGATGCCTGCTCTTGTTCAGCAGACTGTAAGGCGTGGGTACAGCTACTCCAAGGTTCCCTCCTGGTTCCAGGGTCCGTCACCGGGCTCTGCCCTGGCTGCGAGGGTGGGCATGGAGGGAGTCCCGTTGGGGGAAACATGCTTCCCTTTTGCTTTTTAATGCTCAGGAACAGCTTAAACCAGGTAGGGTACTCCCCTCCGGGACTTTGGACCTCCCCAGGCACCATACTCACTTGCACACGGCCCCGCTCTTCAACTTGGCCTTCTCCGTTAGGATCCTCAACACCGCTTCCCAGTCTTTACTGGCAACCTGGGACAACTTTAGGCTAAATGGGGGGCTTGATAGGTCCCCATTCCTGAACACACTGGGAGAAAAAGCAGCCTCATAAGGTGGACAGTCCCCAGGACTGTGTGTGAGAGGTGGCACGGGATAGAGCATCTTGGACTTCTCTATCCCCACCATTGCCTAGAGGCTGCTGGAACAAAACCACCCCATTTTCTTGGTCATACTGAATCAAAAGTTTCTTCCCCTGCTCCCCAACACCAGCACTCACTGGATAGAGCAGGAAGAACCTGCAGGTAGTTGCCATCCAAGGTCCCCATCACACTGGTGGTGAGTCACAGGAGGACCCTAAAAGCCAAGTCAGGACCCCAAGTCAGGAATTGAGGCCTCTGGTTTGGGGTCTGGTAGTCCAAGGTGGGGAGGGAAAGGAACCAGTGCCACAGGAGAGGGAGCAGGAAGGGGGCTGGTCACACCCTCCACCAGCCTCTGCCTCCCCTGGGTCACATTCTAGCCAGTCTCCTGCTCCCTGTGTGTTCTCCAGCATCTTTCCTTTGACTTTCACTTTATCCTGGAGATAAAAGCTGGGAAAGGAGCAAGGGACATTGTCCTGATAGCCTGCACCCCAACAAGGATAGGATGTAGAGTGCCCCGTGGAACTGGCAGATCCTGCTGTTTCTAGGGCCATACTTCCCACACCAAATTGGGGACAATCTTGGAAGGGAGGGAAGACGAGGGCGGGGGTGGGGGGCCAGCTTGGGCCAGGACTCACTGGTGGTCTGCTGCTCTTTCCACCAGGATCCTTCGCTCCAGGGACTAAGTAGCTGAAAGGATAGACAGGAGACAGGTCATCTTGGAGAGCCCGGGGCCGAAACAGCCTGGTATCGGGCCCTTCCCGTGGGAACATCCTCCGGTATCTCAGTCCAGAACCAGGGTGGCATGGAACCTCCCTTAGGGCCTGGGTCAGGCCCAACATTCAGACTAGCCCCTCAGATGCAAAAGACAAGAGAAGTTAGCTCACTATGCACTCTGCTGTGTCCCAGGAGTCTCATTCAGGAGGTAGGTGGTTTTATCTTATCTTGCATGGGGCTGAAAATTGACTCATCTAAAGTAACACAGAAGCGACAGAACCTGGATTTGAAGCCTTAGATATCTAACTTCTGACCTCTTGCTCTTTAGTGAGATGAGCAACCTCAGCCTTGAGCTGAGCAGGACTTGAAGCCAGTGGAGTTGAATTCAGCTATCTCTAGCATCGCAGCCCAACCCTTGGGGACAGAATGCCTCAGCACAGCGGCACATGCCTGGCGGCAGGGCTCGGGGTCTAGATAAAGGGGCTCAACCAGCTCTCACAGGCTGGTCCTGGCTCAATGGGCTTAAGCATCAGTGTCAGCTTGGACTTTAACTGTGGCACCACTGTTTTTACTTATTTTTCTTGGTTTTCTCTAAAAAAACATGGGCCAGACCACCTCCTTCACGAGGCTTCCGTGTCCCCTGAGGAAATGCGTAACCGGCCACTACCCACCTCCCTCTCTAGCTGTTACTGACCCCCGTCCACTTACTGGAGCTTGCGGAATGGTTCGAAGCCGGCAGCCACATACCGTCCTCCGTTTTGCAAGTCGGCCAAGTCAGTGACAGGGTGGCCATGACGGGGCGTGTAGAGGGCACGCACAGCCAGAGGGGCCTGCACTGCTGCTGTCACCTCACAGAGGAAGGTCTCCAGGGTGGGGAAGCGGCGTTGAGTCACCACCAGCTGGCGGCCTGGGGAGAAGGGGTCCCCATTACGGTAAACCACCACCTTCTTAGCCGCTGGACTGCCACCTGCCATAATGTGCCCTCTCCAGACGCAGAGCTGTTGCCAGGCAACTAAGGCAGAGTTGGGAAAGGCGCCAACCAGAGGTCCAGGCCTGCCCTCTCACCCAGCATGGCAGGGAGAGCCGCTGGCAGGAGCACCGTTTATACTTGGGGCTCCACCCGGTCTGCCCTTGGTGTGGAGCTCACGAGGGCCGGCATGACCACTATATAGCAAGGTCCTGGGGCTAGGGCCAGGCAGTGCAGGGCTCACACTGAGACACAGGTGTTCCGGCACTAATGGAGGGGCCCTCAGCCTCCCTGCCACCCTGGAGTCCAAAGGAGCTGCTTTAGGTGCTGTTCCCAAGGAGAATGGCAAGCCTGCTCCTGGAGTGTGGCGCCCAGAAAGGGAGGGCCTGGCGTCTGTCCTGGCCAAGGGGAGAAATGAGTGCAACCGAGTCCAGAATCCAAGACAAACCTTTATTCTCCCCCAGGCTCTCCACTCCCTGCCCTTTCACAGCACCTCCCCGGCTCTCCTGTTTCCACAGCCTGCTGCTCCAGTGGCCCTCGCCTGTGGGGTCTGACCCTGTTGAAGACGGATTCTGGGGGCCATGGCACAATCCTCTGGTTTTCCCACACTCACGGCTAGGCTCACTGGAGCTTCTACCTTCGGAACTTATACCGCCAGGGGGCTGGCCCTTGGGTGGCTTGGTCCTCCAGCAACCCAGATGACCATGCTCTGGCCCTGCCAAGGTCCCATTCCAGATGACATGGGCCTCTGAGAAGCCTAATTCCCTTGGCCTCACCCCTTGGCAATTGGGCTCTTTGTGGCTTGGCCCCCCAGGGAGTTTTCTCCTTAACATCTGGGTCCTCATGGAGTACAGGTGGCTTTTTCCTGACCTCTCAGGACAGAAGCCTTTGGAGATCTGGTCCTCCAGTTGTTCTGTCAGTTGCAAGCAACTCCAAGATGTTTCCCACCCTCTGGCTCTTTTGTGAGCTTGTTCTCTGTGGCCGGGTTTTCTGGTAGCATGGGCTACCTCTTGTGGCGCAGGTCTCTGTGCTTGGTCCCAGTAGTGGTCCTGCCTGTAGTAGCAAGTCTTTCTGGGGACTCATGGGGTTGTGAGTTGAGTCTCCAGCAAGAGTTGTCGGCATGGTCTGGCTTCCCAATGGTGCTGTCTCTGAAGAACTGGTCTTCCAGGGGTGGACTTGGTTGTGACCTGGCTTTCTCAGAGGCCTGTCCTGCTTCTGGGGATCTCAGTGTTTGTTTGAGAAGTAAGTACTGTTGGGGAAGAGAGAGACCAGTACTGTATCCAAAAGGCTGGCTTGAGTATGGCAGGAAGCTTTTCTCTAACCCCTTCCTTTGGCTCTAAATGTGCAGAAAGAACACCCCGCTGGTGCCTACCTCCTTACGACTGTTGATGGCCTGTTGTAGCCACAGCAGCTCCATGGCCAGGTGACTGCAGTGATACTGGAGCTCCTGTAGCTGAGTCTGCCTTTGGGGCAGTCTTGGATCTGCAGCTTCTGTGGAGGGAGGGAAGAAGGGAGAAAGCTTTGAGGGGCAGACACTGGGCGCACTGGCTTAGCATTAGACACTGGCACCTGCCCCTGCCCACATCCAGGCAGAAGAAAAAGGATGTGGTTTATCTAGCACAAACTTTCACACTCAGATGGGAAAGCTAAGGGTCAGAGGCTTGCCCTGAGTTAGGCAGAGAGGTACCTGGGTTCTCCATCCTTGAAGGAATCCTGATTTTTCTGCTCTGCTCATCCTGAAGCCAGGAGTTGTCATCTCTGCAGAGAAGACCTGTTGAGTTTGTTGCACCCTCTCCTGACTTCCTCACCTTCTCTGGGGCAGTCTCTTTCTCAGGCTTTTCACACAGGAAGTGACTCCATTGTTTCTGCTCTGGATTTGGTAACTTCTCTCTAGCTTGCCAGGTCCAGTGGGATGTTACCTTTTCAGAAATGAGCGGTATGAGAGGCCGAGGGCACCATAACTTAGCAGACTAGTGAGGGTCAAGGATTGGGGTGTGAGATGAATCTTATGACACTGGCAGGAAGGAAAAACTTGCAAGCAGGAGGACGGGTTTTTCTATTTCTATGAGTCGCCTGCCCAGGTCCTTACTCCCCTTGGGGTGTGTACTACCTGTGAGGGAAATCGGGGTCTGGGAATCCAACCCTCAGTCCACTGAAGTGTGCCCAGATCACCCTCGATCTCTCGTACAATAGCCTCGTATTCAGCTCGCAGACTCTGGAACTGGCGTCGGACCAAGAAGCCGCGTATGCAGGCCTGGTGTAGAGAACCGGGAGAAAGAAAACCTTTATCATTTCCCAAAGTGGTAGCATCTTGGGGGGGTCTCCAGGAACCGTCATCGCAGTGATTGCAAGGGCACCCGCCACCGGGGAAAGGCTAGGTGACGCTATGCCCTGGGCTCCGGAGACTCGAGGGACATGATGGACTGGATACTACTTCCCGACTTAAGGGCCTGAACTGGGCTTGCCCAGATCTCCCAGGAGCCAGTGGTGCGAGTGTGGGCGCGCGCGGGCAAGTCTGGGGGGGCCCCGGCTCTCTTCAGGGAGGTGGGGGTGAGCACGCGGTAGGTGACTAAACAGGAGAGCCCCCTCTAGCTCAACCCGTGCGGGGCTAAATCATGTGCACCCCAGCCGCTCCACACCTGCAGCGCCGACACCTTCCGAACCAACTGCTCGCGCTCCATCCGGGCGCCAACTGCCCCACCGGCGCCTGCGTCACTCAGCCGCGCCGCGCAGGCCCCGCCCCCTCCGCCTCCCGAGCAACCTTCCGGTCTCGCCCACGCCGCTCCCCGCCCGCGCCGGGGCTCCCGCTCCCGCCCTCCCAGCCCCGCGCTGACCCGCCGGCGGCGGCGTCCGGCTTCCTGAACGAGCGTGTGGCGCAGCGCTGTCTTCGCGGAGGCTTGGGAGCCCTCGCCACGTTAGGACGCAGTGAGGGGAGGGAAGACACTTAGCCACTATCTTTGTTTCTGGTTTTATTCCATCGATGTGCCCCCCCTCCCCATAGCACCTGGGGGGCGCGGGGTGACCATGGATTCCGTAAAAAATCACAGTTTGAAGGAATAAAGTAGCCCGGGCCTGGTCCAGACCTACGCAGCCGACTGCTCCTCAGGTTCAGCGTTCTCGGCCAGGTGAAGCTTCTGTCTGTGCCGGTCAAGGACTGTGAGGGAGCCAGCCTCTCCAGCCCCCCTCCCATCCCGCACTCTCAGTCTCCCTAACTGACGGGTTGGCAGTCAGGTTGCAGCCCCCCCATCCTGCTCTGCGGTGTGGTCTGCCCCTCTCCCCCCTCCCTCCCTCCTGCGCTGACACCGGTTCCACCTAGGACTGCATGACGAAGTCATGCAACTGCCCAGGGAGACCGCTGACCAGCAGGGCCGTGGATTGGCATCAACTAAAGTGCCTGCTGAGAATTTCATGAGCAGGTAAACGTTCCTCTCAACGCCTTTCTCCTAGTATTTGGGGAATTCTGCACCCCCTCTACCTGCACGGAGGCAGTTTGTGACCAGTTCTGACTCAGCAGGATTAGAAGGGGTGGAGACATTTTGTTACATGTAAATACTTGATGGGACACACACTCTTGAGGTTCCTTGTAAAGGATACATAGAATTACTAAGATCTTCCAGCTGTTAACAGAAAAAGGGAGATTTCTGTCAGGAGGGGCTCCAAGCCAAAACCCAGACATGATGGGGGACAACTTTTGAGGGGGAGTTGTGGGGCCCAGACTTCTTGGATCCATGCACCCCCTGCTTTTCACCCAGGGCCAGGAGTGGCCTTAGGAGTATATACCTCCCCAATGCTTGGTACCCCTAGGAACCAAAGCACAAGGTCTTGACCCACATTGCTGAGCAGCTGGTCCAGGTTGCGGTCAGCCATTGTCTTCTTCTGCTCCTCAGGCAGCCCCTCGGTGACCCCATCTTCTTCCTCTTCCTCCTCTTCCTCCCCACACACATCCAGGCTGAAGTGCAGTCGGGCCAGCTTCTCCTGCATCTCCCGCACATGCTCCAACTGCTCGAAGGAGCATTCTTTCCCTGGACAGCAGCTGTCTGAGCACTGGGAGCGAGCCTGGGACCCTAGCCCCGGCTAGCCCTGGACACCAGCCCTCCAGCCTCCTCTACCCATGTCCCCTCAGCCCAGGCCCAAGACTCACCAAAGGCCTGCAGCCGGCCTGAGTGGAAATCATTGAGCAGGTTCAGCAGTCCGCCCTCCATCTCGTACACATCAGTCACCTCGGTCAGGAAGGAGTGCTGCAGGGGCGTGCCTGCAGAGCCGCCTGCACCTCCGGCCAGCACTGGGCGGCACTTCTCCTTGCCTACCCTGATGGGGGGGAGAGGACCACCGCCCTGTGTGTGTGGGTAGCCAATACCCCCAGGTCTTTTGTGCCAGCTATCTATACACAGACTGAACTTCCTAGCCACTAACCACAGTGGGTGTTTATGCTTCTGGCCCTGAGCACCAGGATGGGAAAAGAGAAGTGAGTGCAGGAGGAGGGGTAAAGGTAATAGGTCAAAAGAAGCCCTCTTATGCCAAGACAGAGGTAGAACCCTTCCTCAAGGGGCCCAGGGTTCCAGTGTTAACCCTTCACTCATTCCTCCAGTGACCCCGGTGAGTCACCTGTTCTCCCAGATACTCAGGAGATTTGAGAGCTCCCTTACCTCTCCCCAGAATAACTTTCTGCTCCATTTCTATTTAAAAATAGGATTTCCCATTACTCTCAGGGTAACACTGAACTTCCTTCCCAGCCAGCCCCCTCCTTCTCCAAGTGCATTTCCTATTATTCCTGCCCCAACAGCGAGTTTTGGCTACGCCCCACTGTGGCTGTCCCCCAGCATACTTCTCAGGCAGGTGGAGTGCATAAGCACAGGGAGCACATTCTAGGTAGAATAAATTCCCAAATGTCACACACACACAAAAAAAAAGCAGAGAATCAAATGGTACACTTGAGTATCCCCTTAGCATTTCCTGTCCCACCACACTCCAGAGCCAGCAAACCACTGTGCTTCCTAGAACCTTCCAGACATATTTTTCTTGCTGCTGTACGAGGGAAGCCCCTCAGCATAGAACACCCCCCACGTGCAGCAGGCAGGGTTGTTGGCTTCCTGCTCGGAGGTCTTATCATATATGTGACCTCACTGACCCACCTCGCCTTTCCCTGACACACTTGGGCATACCAGGGTCTGAGGCATCTGACTGCTCAGGGACTAGCTGAGGTGGTCTCAGGGATGACATTAATTTTTGCTTAGTAATGTAAGGCTAATGCTCCTTTGCCTTTCTTCCTACGGGGCTCAGCACAACGTTGAGGACCTCCCTTCTTGCCCTGCTTTCTGTACTCACCTCTTGAACTTGGCCCGCTGCTTGGGGGATGGCAGGTGAGGGAGTCCCAGGGCCAAGGAACCACTGTGGCTGGTGGGCACAGGGACCCTGCGTAGTGTGCTTGGAGCCTGGGCTGACTGGGTGAGGCAGGGCTTGGGACTCCTTTTCTTCTTTTTGTCCTCCATTGGTGCTGGCTGGACCTTAGGTCTTCACAGGTAGGCAACCCCACTGAGAGAACAGATGCAAGTTATTGCTGAGAGCTGCATAGGGCTTCTATAAGTAACTGCACAGTGTGAGCAGGGCTAGAAGTCAGTGCCTGTCACTGGGGTTGTAGATGTTTCTTTGAAGGACCTCCTGCAGCCCACCTGCTTCCCCTCATAGCTTGGTCCTTAGCTTAGAAACCCAGGTCCTGCCTGAAAGGGTGTGAGCAGATATTGTTCAGTGGCTGCTGGGGTTTCCTGTACAAGCGGCCAAGGGAGTGGAGCTGGCAGAGGAAATGGAGCAGGAGCCAAGCTGAGGAATAGGGGTGTCCAGCATACCCGGTTATCAACTGCCTAAGAAGAAGCTGATAGACCTGTCAGCATGGGTGAGGGCACCTGGGAAGACCCCAGTGTCCAACAGTAACCACAAGAGGATGCCTGGCATGTGGAGTCAGGCCCAGCAGAAATTTCCCTCCACTTAGACACTGGCATCACCCCCCCAACACACACGCACACTTTGATTGCAAACTCCCAGGACCCCCAGAAGCTTCCAAGGATATGCCTCTGGCCCTTTCACCCTCCCCAGTCAGAGAGAGTGTGGCATCCAAGGCAGCCAGGGCGCAGCCAGGTGGGTGTGCCTGGGCCTCCAACAATGGCAGTGCCTGAGGCTGGTACAGTCCAGCCTCCAGTCAGGCCCCACCCCCAAGCCTCAGGCCCGCTGAAGTCTCCCTCCAGGAGGTCTGGGTCTCCTTCAGGGTTTTCCCACGCTGTCATTACCTGGAGTGACTACTTTTGGGCTGGTGCTGGGGGCAGAACCATTTCAACTGGCTCACGGCTGGCTGGCACTGAGTGTGCCGTGGCGTGGAGATGATTGCGTCACATGCCTCACCCTGCGCAGCTTGGCCCAATTAGGGATTTGATTTAAAAAAAAAAATGGAGTGGGAGCTCCAGCTCCCCACAAATAGCTGGCGGTGGCCTGAGCTCTGTTTCCCACACTCAATCCCTAAAGCCGTGTCCTAAATAAATAGCTCAACTCGGGGGCCAGCATCCGAAATGCAAATGCAACGTCAGCCCCACACCAACTCTCCGGCCCACCCCTCACCCCGGGCGACTGACCTGGAGGCCGGGTCGTGGTGATGCTGGAGGCAGGTTCCCTCCGCCCGCAAACTGCGCTGGGACGGAACCGCGGCTGAGCTGCGGGGAGGTAATTTGCATTTAAAGAGAAAGTGACCTTCCTTGTGGCTGAGGATGGGGTAAGGTGGGAGCAGCACCTCACTAGCTGAGCTGTCCCCCTAACCTTACCTGCACCAGATGACCGTTTAGTTCGGTGACAGCAATCTAAAAACCCTTTGACTTTCCCACCTGTTTTGGAGAGAAGCTAGAATCCCTTACAAAATGGTGGTGGCATTGCCTGCAGAGAGGGGAGGAGGGGAACCGAGACAGAATATCTAAAAAGCTGTAAGCAGCTCTGTAAGAAGCAGAGCTGCCTCTATGGAGTCCTGCTTCCCTCTTAAGCACTCGTGTATGTTGAATTCTTAAAGGAAGATGGTGTCCTCCTATTTTACCAAAAGCGAACAATAACCCTTTGAGGGCAATACCACTCCCCCAGCACCCAACACGCCTCGAGGGTAAGTGGTGGGCGCTGTATTCTGCCACTGAGGCGTTGGTGGGGCCAAGCCTCCCCCTTTATCACCGCCAGGAGCGCCGGGAGCCTCGGGTCAGAGGGGAAGCCAGCACGATTCCCTGGCCCAGGATTCCAGCGCCAGACGCGAAACCTGATTCCCAGGAGGCTGACCTCGGGCTGCCTGGGAGCCAGATCAACAGGCAGCTATTTAAAGACCTGGCAGGGACTCGAGCTCCAGCCCCAAGAGAAGTATCCGCTGGCACAAGAGTGGGGCTGCTCCTTGGCCAGGCTGCCCTAAGGCTCCAGTAGCAGCTCCCAAGCAAAGTACAGCCGCTTGGCTCTCCTCTTCACCATGGGTAATCCTCCCCAGGCGGGAGCACCTCCCTCCGCCAGATCTTGGGCTCTGGTGATGGCTGAAGGGGTCACCACAAGGATTCTCCCACAGAGGTACCTCAAATTTTACATTCAAGCTTGGGTGGGTGGATGGGAGTATGGGAGAAACAAGCCCATTCTTCAGACTTGCAGAACACACAAGATCCAAGCGGAGCTCCTGTGTCCTGTGTGTGTCCACGGGTGCTGCTTGAGAGCGGCGATGGCAGTGTGCTCCCATAGAGTGAGCAGAGGCCATAATTTTGGCCTCCACTGGCCTATGCCTGTGCTTGGGCTTTTCCTCTCAGCCTCCCGATTTCCTGTCTAAACACCTCCCTGCCCTCTGAGCTAACCCAAATTCCTTAGACTGGCACACAGGCTGTTGGCAAGGTGGCCTCCTCTTCCCCCACCCTCCTGTGCACCTGCCTGTCAGGTGAACCATCTCACTGGGTGCCTCCTGCCTGTCAGGTGAGGCCTTTCAGGTTTCCACTCCTGTTGCCTTGCTGAAGGGGAGAGGCTCCTCGTGTTATATTCCCATAGTACCATTAGCCTATTTTATTGAGCACTTTCTCCCCTCCCCTCCCCAAGCCTTCAATGGCAGGGAGTTTTCTTCCCCAAGACATGCCTATTTTTATTTGGAGCACAGGAGGACTCCGCGCACGTAGAGGTCAAAATCTGGCCTGTGTGGAAACATCCATAACCTAGACGAAAACTACCTGCGCTTCCAGTACACGGAAGCAGACCAGTCCTGAACGTGTGTTACACAGGGCCTTCTATCAGGATGCATTTATCCGCTGACATGTATTGTGTGACCAGTCACATTGTCCTCAGCCAACTTGCCACCTTGGTAATTCTCACACACATTTCTCTTGGTAATGTTTTGGTCATCTGACTGCTCAGTGAGTGGGTTGTTTATAAAGGAGAAAAATGGAACAGGACAATGGGAAAACAGTGAAAAGACAAATCAACCAACCCAACTTTACTAGGGTTGGTGAGTAGTATTTGGCTAGAAACACTTGCCTGCAACCCCGAGAAGGTAGATGTTCTGACATGGTCATGAGCCAAGAACGCAGAATCCAGAAGTCAACAGTGCTGCTAATGACGTGTGAACACGTCTCCCAGGCTGAAAACTGGCAGCAGTCCCCTCGGCTGGCAGTGTGACTTTCCTTGCCTTTGTTTTGTGTCACTCAAAGGGGGTGGTATTGCCCCTCTCTTAGCAAATGCTTCCCTCTTGAGGGTCAAAGCATGTGCAGGCATCTCTTTGCTGCTGGGTCTTGGTGTGGCTGGGGTTGGCTCCTTCTTTAGACTCTAAAACACTGAACTTTCCACAAGACGAAAAGTACAGTCAAGGACTGATGTACTCCACTTGCCAGGGATCAACATACTTAGATGTGAAACTTCCCACCTTGTATAACTGCACAGAGGGCGCAGCACAGCTCAGCAGCTGCCCCGGGGCGGCAATTAAGGGCAGTCTGCTGGGTTTTGAGTCAGAAAAAAGCAATACATTAGCTTTTACATTTGCAGCTGAGTGTAAGGCTGGATTTTATACAAAGTGAAAGAAATAGAAGCTGATTACAACTTACCTGGACGGTTTACCTCTGTTGTCAGTCTTTGGTTGGTGAAAGCATCTGCTGCTCCATGGATGAGCACCTTGCCAACTTGGCCAAAGGCTCTGCTCAGCAGCTCAAGAGAATCTGCTAGTGGCCTGAGACTGTGCTGACTGCTGGAAGGCAGGAGGGAACCATCACAGAGACTGCAGCACATAGGGCGAGTCAGAGACAGCCAGGCAGATTCAGAGGCACCAAATGACCACAAAGTTCAGGAAAGAAACAAGTAAGGCAACAGACTTTATTTAACGTGGTTTTAAAATACATCAAGTCCCTGGCAGTTGTGAATACCAAAAGGAGACAAAAAAAGCTGCCAGCACAGCTTCAAAGTTTGGGTGGCCTGGCTGGGCCATAAGGGAAGCAGTTACAGGGACAGAAGGCAGCACCCCTCCCCCAGGCAGGTGCCTGGCTGTCCCTGGGGTGACTGCCTCTGGCTGTGCAAGGTGGGAGGGCTGGAGTAGCAGCTGGACAATCAGCTCAGCAGGCCTCCCCCTCCTGCCCAGCTCTCCCAGACACCAGGGCACTGCCACTGGCCTCTTGATCAGCCCTAAGCAGGGCCACCAGGAAGAGGGTGGAGAGGGGAAAACAACCATCTTTTCAGACATAATGTTCTCTTACAGAAAATGCCTGAGCTCAGCCCATGGTCCAGAAACCTCAAGGAAAAAAGTAAAAAAAAAAAAGTGCTGCTGAGACCTTTCAGAATCAGGTACATGAAGCTCTCAGCTGGACAGTTCTGAACACAAATCACTGTCAGCAGAGATAAGTGCCTCTGCCTGATCTGGTCTGGTCCCTGGAGGAAAAGCTAGCAATCTAAGAAACCAACACAGATCTTGGTCCTGAAACTGAGGTCATGTGCATGAGATCTGCCCTGGCGAGGAAGGCTGGTCTTCACCCACAGAAAGGCCACCTTCCCTGCACAGCACCCAGGCACCTGGCAGGTGCAGAATGCACCCAGGTACCTGGGCTGACTTTGGAAAGCAGAACAAGCAGAGCAGCTGTAGTGACTGGTAAAATTTGGTCAATGGTGGGAAAGGAAGAATGGTACCCCCTTCTGCAGCCTGGCCTGGAGTCAGAGATGGCTGGAGTGAGAACAAGGGCCACATCCTGCTCGGAGCGTGTGCTTTTGACCTGGGAAGCACAGCTGGGCCACTCTGCCTGCCATAGGTAGACTTAATCCTGAGGCTGGCTGTGCAGCTGTGACCTCCCTACCACCACACTAGGCTCCCAACACCCCATCTCCTCCCCATGGGCTTTTAAGAGGTAGCTGAAGTGAGGCAGGGAATTATGTGAGCCACTGCTGGCCTTCCCACTCTCCTTAAAGAGCCAGGCAGAAGCTTCTACTGCTTCCCTGTCCTTCCACAGCCCAGCAAATCCTGTATGGGACTGGTACACTTGTGTATCCCAGCCTGGTACACAAGTGAAAGGGGCAAGTCCAGGGACCATTCTGGAATTTTTAAAGGGAGGATCTTAGGAAACACTTCTCCACAGGAGAGGAGTATCTCAGCCAGGGATGGCAAGGTCTCAATACTTATGCTAGCTGCTAGGGGAATTTCGAGACTTGAGGATGTACCTCAAATGAGGGATTAGTAGGAAACACTCCCTTTAGTGGTAGCTCCCACAGGGACAGAGGGGAACTGTGTGCCATTCATTTGCCATCTCTGGTCTAAGCAGTAACATGATTCAGGAGGACATAACATTCTTCAAAAACCAACTTAACTGAGGGATTTAAGTTAAGGGCTGAGAGAGTAGGCTACATGTGGAAGATGAGGGCCTTGCAGGACAACAAACTATCTTCAAAGAAATACAGCAGGAAGCACAAATACTACCATTCTGTCTCTTTTGGACTGTGGGTCCCCCAGCTACGGTGAGGCTGCGGCCTGGCTGGGGATGGGGTTGTATCCCAACCCAACTGAGTTCTGCTTCCTGACCTAGGACTCATTTTGTTACTGCAGAAAACTGCTCTGTACAAAGACTGGCTAATACCCTGGAAAGTGTGCAACCAGCAGAAGTGGTAGAGTGTAGCACGTAACAGAGGTGGCTGAGGGAAGAACCACAAATATCTGCAGTCATTTCTGGGGTTGTCAATCATCAAGTCTCATTCTTATCCTCTAGCTGCCAGAAAGAGCTGATGGCAGTGGGGTGCCAAGAGGACATACCTCAGGTCCTATTCCCCAGGCAGAATCTGGGCAAACCTCAAGGACAGCACGCTGCAGAGATAGGCAGAAAGCAGAGTCATAAAGCCAAGGGGAACAGTTGGGTCAGGGCCCAGCAACTGCGACATGGAGACAGTGGTGATGGGATAGGTGGTGGCCTCCCGGGATTGAAACCTTCAGAGGTCCTGTCCTTTTTCTTAATACAGTCTGATTCCATCAAACAGGAGACCCCGGCACCAACATGGAAAAGGTGCCAGGAGTGGTGGGCACTGCAGCCAGGCACCTGGGTGCCACTGCCATGGCACTTGCCCACCCCAGAAGGTCCTCAACATAACACTGTCATGTGCAAAATAAAAGAAGAAAAACCAACCACCTTCAGAAAGAAACCTTTGGATGATCTCTTGTCAATCATTTGTGCAGGCTAGAGAGGCACCTGTGAATGATAAGGCTACTGAGAAGCATCACTGGCCTGGTCCTGGCACTAACGGGCAGGGAAGCGGGACCCCACGGGCTCCCTACCAGCACGCCATCATTCCACACAGAAACCTTCTCCAGGCCCTTGTCCTAGGCAGGAAAGTAGTCTCACTGCCAGTTCTAAGTGTCCTGCCGGGGCTCCAGCTCAGGGACCCCCTTTTTCCAGGTCAACAGAAGCAAAAGAGCTTCTGGGGGAGCTAGGAAAGCTGCCCAAGCTCCGCTCACAAGAGAAACACAGTCAAGGCCTGGTGTGTCACTTGTCACGAGCCCTGAGGGCAGGGAGGGAGGGGTCTGAGTCTCAAGTGGGGCAAGAAAATGCTCAAGTCATCGTCCTGCCAGCTCACTGTGACAGCGGTGATATCAGCTCCTCTTTGAGACTCTTCAACTCACGAAGAGCCACTGAGTCGACCTATACACACCCACCTCCGTGCAAGCCCATTGTACACTTACAAACAGAAATGTATGAGGCCTTGCACACATGCCATAAATATGAAAAAGTGACCCATAAAATCCAGAACTGCAGTCAAGATGCCAGCCAGGTGACAGCACCCTGGGCCTCAGCACTCGACTGCTTAGCAGTGGGAGCCTTGCGCGGGCCAGGCCTGGCTGGGCTGCCTGCTCCCTTCCCAGCGTGCCCTGTGCCAGGCTCCCTAGGTGGTGGTGGCGGCGAGCTCCTGGGGCCCTGTTTGGCCTGAGGCTTCTGTGCTTGGTGCTCCCAGGCAGCAAGGAGCTTCTGTGGCCTGTGGGGAGCTGGGGGCTGGGGGCCTGGGCCCCTCCCCGTCCTGCTCTTTGGCGGCAGGGGCAGTCTCTGGCTGCTGATCAGGGCCGTTGTTGGCGAGGAAGCCCTGGCCACCGGCACTCAGGTCCTGCACCCTCTTGTTCAGGTCATTGCGCTCTGTCTGCAGTGCCCGGCACAGCTTCTCCAGCCGCTGGATTTTCACCTGCAGGCCTTCCAGCTCTTTATCCCGGAGAGTTTTCTAGGGAGAGATGGAGCCCTTTCAGTGCCATGCTGCCCCTGCTGCTCCTAAACTGCCCCTTCGTAGGAACATTCACACCTACCAATGCTGGGAGCAAAGCAGAGCCAAATGCCGGCCTCTCCAAGTACACAGCCCCGGCTTACCGAAGGCTCAGCTGTCAAATGGGGCAGCGCGGAGGGGTGTGGCTGGAGGTCAGGGGATGTATTCCTTTCTCCATTTATCTGCCACAACCCTGGTAAACTCCTTGGCTTTTGAGTCTGTCTCCTTTATCTGCTAAAGACTGAACTGAGGTAACACCACATTTACCTCACACGTCTCAGAGAAGGTCCATGGAACCGGCCTATCTAAAACATCCAGCAAGACTGGGCCCCAGTCGCGGCCCAGCACTGTAGTCACTTCCTTCTCCTACACCCACGCCACAGCTTACACTCCAGGCAGGTGTCCTGCCACTGCGCAGAGGCTACAGCTGAGGCTGGCCCCCGAGGCTCTTCTGTCCCCAGCCTTTCTTCCCTTTGCTCTTTGCTCACCATGCAGATCTATCACTGGGCACACCAAATGCCACGGGGGACAGTGGGGACTGCCTCCAGTCTGGGAAAGACACGGATGCGAGCCCCACTCTGGCTCTCACGCCGCGTCACCTACGGGAAGGGCCCACTCAGTAACCGCATCCCCCGCCTTGCTGGCACCACAGCTGACCTCCTCGGCCATCTCCAATAGGGCCTTGTTGCTGCTTTCCCACCGGGACCGGTACATGGTGGTTTCTTTTTCCAGCTTCTTGATTTTCTTAGTCATCTGCGTTATGTGACAGACAGGAGACGGTCAGGGGTCGAGACTGGTTGTGCATCTATTTCTTCAATGTGGGAAGTATTCCCGTGGGGCAAGGTGTTCTAGGCATGGTCAGTGCCTCTGTGCACCGAAGGTCTTCCCAGTTAAATGCCCTCCACGAGTAACTGGAACGGGGGACAACCTCTTCTCCAGGAAGACCTGGAGTCCACAGCACTGACACATGTTGAGAGGGGCAGGGTGTGATCTCTCCCCGGGTGCCCACCACTGTTTCTGTCCACAGCTCCCCAGGAGGCACCAGGGTGGGAACTTCCTGGAAGCAGGCCCACCCAGCTGGGACCACTGTTACCTTTTCCATCTCCTGCTTGAATGTAGTGAACACCTCACTGCTTTTGGAAAGAGTGTTCTGGAACTCCTCAAACTTCTCTGTGTAAAGGGCAAGCTGGGTGAGAAAGAAGTCCACATATGAAACTGGGTTTCTGATCAACACCTTCAGACCCTCCCCTGACCCTCTGACCCTCTGACACATCTGTTCTATTACGATACCATTTCTCTTTAAAACAAAACAAAACAAAACAAAACAAAACAAAACAAAACAAAACAAAACAAAACAAAACAAAACAAAACAACCCAAAAAACTGTGTACTTGGAAAGGCAAAATACAAAATGTTATGTTTGGAAAGTAGGATCTAGGGTGACAAGCTTTGCCTTTACCTTGATTTTAAACTTTTGTTCTGGAATGAAGTATAATCTATGTGATTAAAAACCACCATTCTATCCCCACCGCCTCAGAAACAGCACCCCGCTTCCAGCTAGGAAGAAGTCCTCCAAGCTTGCCCAGCCACCTGGTCACCACCGCGGGTGCTGGGAAGGTGGCGTGTTCTCTGTTCTTCCAGAGAGAACAAAGGCTCAGGAAGGTCACAAAGCAGGCAAGGTGGTCCTAGAATGAGGGTCCCCATCCCCTCAGTACGGGGCCCGGGTTGGCAAGAGGCCCTTGGCCACTAAGGGTCAGGATGTAGTCTCACCTGCTGCTTCAGATGGGTCTCCTGCTGCTTCATCAGCTCACACATCCTCTGGGACTCCACTGCCTCTTTGAGAAGCTATTTCCAAGACAGGCCCCCATACTCATCAGAAGCCCGTAGGGACTACATTTGGCTTTTATTTTTTTAGCCACAACCAACAGAACCCAGTGAGGTATCCTGCTCTCAGACCAGTGTCTGAGGAAGCAGTGCTCTGGTCCAGCCAGGCGGCAGCTTCTCCCACACAAGCTTCACTGTAAGCCACAACCCCACCTCCTCCTCCCGGAGCCCCACCCCCGAGACAAGCCTCACAAAATCCTTCTCCCGCTGGTGCCTCTCCTCTGCCTCCTTCAGCATTTCCTGGGCCTGCTGGAGCTTGGCATCCACCAGCTGCTGCTGCAGGTCTTTGTGTTTGAAGACTTTGTCGATATGCTGCAGGGAAGCATGATGGGAGAGGGCACCTGTCAGGAGTCCCTTTCTCAGGGGGCTGGTGAGTGCAGGGATGTCCCATCTGTGGGAACCAGGGCACTTCCAAGTGCCCTAATCCCTGGAAGACTTCTTCCTGTCCTCGCCCCGTTTCTTTCCCACTGAGTTAGTCTTGAGTGGAAACAGGAATTTGTTTATGGATGAAGCCAGCTTCCAGGATGTGAAGTAACATATATTCTCACACTTCTAGCCCCAAGAGACATCATTCAACCTTCACATTAGGAGCCTGAGCCCCTGATACATGGAAAGAAAGGGCAAAAAGTGACACTCTACCTACCAAGCAACTTAACTCAGTTGACAGAGATCTGCCATGCCTACAAGTTAAGGGTGGATGGGTGTGTCTAAAGAACTGTCGGGAGGAATGCTGGCATTCTGAACCAGGTGAGAGACAACAGATGGTGGACTCAAGTGCTTCTTCAAAGGTAAAAATCAATTGAATAAAGGGACATGGAGCAGTTTATGTTTTGGGGGGAAGGGAAGGTGGCTCAGAGACTGGTCCAGTTCAGGACGTGAGGACTTTCAGTCACCTATGTGACTCCGAGAGGCCAGGGCAGGGTTGGCTGAATCTGACTGGGGTGGGGTGTAAAGGAGGACAGTAGGGCCTCGGAGACCTGGACCTCCACAGCAGTATCAAGTCTTCTTTTTGCCTTGGGGGAAGGAGTGGGAGAGAGCCCTCATTCTGTGGTGACTCAGGAAGACTCGTGCTAAAAGGTAAAAGCCAAACCAACTCCTTTAGAACCAAGTGCACCACAAGCAGTCTTGTTCCCAAGCAATGAAGTACAGGAAAAGAGGTAAGCCAGGAATGGACTGAAACCAAGTGTGGGCTCTCGCTCATCCTGCCCAGCAGCAAAAGCTCAGGCCTAACAAGGGGCCTGGTCTAGTCTGGGCAGGTGGTTGCCAGCTTCTCTTTTTATGATGAATAAGCAATCCAGAAGAGCCAAGTGACTGTTAGGCATGTGGCAACTCAAAGATACTAATTTGAGTGTCTGGCTGAGCAGCCCAGGGGACACCCTGACTTGTCAGAGGGCAGGAGCAAGCAAGCTGCATGGACTCACAGAGTCCTTGCAGCTGTTTGCTGACACAGATGCACTGCTTCCCTTGAATGTCCAAATTCTGGAAAACTGTGAGCTGGCAAACCTGACCCTATCATTATAAGGCTAGCAACTGAGGGGAATACTCAGAAGGTTCACGCACAAACATGAACATGTCTGAACTGGATGTGCTGTGTAATACACACTGCATGGACATCTCGTCATTCTAAAACTAGGACACTTCCAATTTCAAAAATCACCTCGGAGGCAGCACTGGGGGCCTGGGGGCCAGAGCCAGGGATGCCTCGCTCGACCGCAGGAGCATGCACAATGCTCCCCGCCCAAGGAAGGAGGAAGAATTTGAGAAAGGAGTAAAGGAGGCAGCCCTACAAGTGCCGCCTGCCACCTGGCCCACTGCCACGACCCCTCAGTTCCTGGCCGCGTCAGCTGCCCGGTACCTCACCTCCTCCCGCAGCTCATACTGCTCGATCAGTTTCTTGAGCCTCTCAGCCAGCTCCATGTTCTCCTGGCGGAGCTTGGAATTGCGCTCGTTGTGCTGCTCCATCTGCAGCTGGATGTCGTTCAGTGTCACCTGGAAGTGCGAGGTCACCTCCTTGCGTTTCTCCTCCTCCTCCCGGGCCCGTTGCACACCTTCTTCCTGGGCAGAGAAGTCAGCCCCAGTACCATCAGCATGGCTGCCAGCCAAGTTCACGAGGCTCCCCCAGCCAGTACAGGGACGAGCTCTTCAGCAGCCCTCCCTGCTCTCAAGGAACATACAGGCTCCAGGGTGCTGTGCAAAGGGGGTTCCTAACGGGCAGCCCTGTAAATTAGGTGCCATCAACTGAGGTTCATTCTAAAGCAGTCTGCCTCCCCTGAAGCCTATCTCCTGTACTTTGGATTAAGAACTCCAGTTTAAATATGCCCCACCGCCAGGAGTAAAAATTAACACCCAGGGCTGGGCTGGTAAGTACTCAAACACTGTTGATGGGAAGGCAATCTGGCAAACCTTCTAAAATTACAGATTTATATCCTTTGGCTCACACATCTTACTTCTGAGATTTACCCTACAGGTAAGTTCCATGTAGGCAGAGATACATATAAAAAACAAGAATTCTCACAACACTCTCCTAGATGTAATAGTGAAAAGTTGAAAATGACCGAAATAAACCTTAAATAGGACACTGATAAAATACAGTGTAACCCCTGGAATCCAAACTGTCATGGAAATTGGCAGAGTGTTCATCCACTGCAAGGTGTACTAAAAACCACTCTGTGGGAAAGCTCTTTGAAACAGAAACCAAACTTCCCTCTCCAAAGAAATAAACAAGCAAAACAAAAGGCCAGTATATTGACTTAACCGTGCTGCTAAAAGAATGAGAGAGCCTCACAGAAACTCCTAGGGAGAGCTAAGGTATTGTGTAATGTGAGAAAAAAGGAATAAGAGATGAAACAATAACTTCATTTAAACACTGTATGTAAGGCCCTAGCTAGTGGCTGGTGGCCCACGGGGTTGAAGCATAATACTGTGAGGCTGTCAGCAGCCACTGCAGCGTGAGTTCGATCCCCAGCCAGGAAGCTGACTCACATGGGCAGCAGACTTCTCCTGACCTGCCTGCTGCTCCCCTCAGCAGTGTTTCAGTCAATTTGCCTGTTCTGCTCCCTACCCTGTCTCTGGGAATCCTCTCATCCACACCCCTCACCTCTGGCCTATATCCCAGGTCTTAGATGCATGAATAAATCTTCAAAAAAAACCCAACGTATGTAAGATTTATACGTAAACAGGATATAGAAAAGGCCATACGTACACTTTACATGTAAGTAGGTTTACTACTCAGTGGTTTTACTGGGCACTGGGGTTGGCAGGGGTGCACAACTATTATTACCTTTGATTTGTTATACTTCTGTCGCCTCCGAATCCCTCACATCAAATTCATATTAAATTTGTACTGTCATAAAGACAAACCATTTTTAAAATGAGCAAAACAAGCTGCAAAATACCTTATATTCATAATTTTATATAAAGACACAAAGAATATGCATATAAAAACCACCTGGAGGCCACAGCAGTGACTGAGCCTTTAGCCAGATTGACCCCCCACCAGCTCCGGGGCGGGAGCTGTTTCCCAAGGCAGCCCTTGCTAGCCACTGAGAATGCTGCGCCCTGAGTTCCGGAGCTCACAGCACCTGAGCTTTCACCTTCCTTGCCCAACAGTGACAAGCAGCTCTCAGGAAGCTCTATTTGCACACCGAAAGCCTACTTAAGGGAAGACAAACATAAGTGGAAGTAAAGGAAAGCAAAGAAACCAGTGGGCTCCCTGCAGGGGCTGGCGGCTACCTTGAGGGAGCGGTTGTGGCGCTGCAGCTCTCGGCACAGGCTCTCCAGCTTGCTGCGTGCCAGGACAGCCTTGCTGTGCTCACCCCGCAGGTGGTCCTTCTCCTGCGCCAGCTGGCTTTGCTTCTTCTGCAAGAGCTTCATCTGTTTCTGTGAGTTCCGGTGTTCCTCCAGCTGGGGACCAGGAGGGCCCGTGAGAATCATGCAGGGCTCTGGCCTTGGGAAGCCAGGCTCTCCTGAACTGCCCTGACTGGCTGCACCCCTCCACCCCCCAGCCGTAACAACCAGAGTGCAGGGGACACGGAGGGACGTCCAGTTCCTCCATTTGATCTGCATGATAACCCAACGGGTCCCCTCCCCAGACAGAGAAAAGGAGTCAGGATAGTCAGACCAGCATAGGGGTCAGTGTATCCCCCAGTTCTGACAAAGCTCTCAGGAGCCTCAGACTGTTACGTCCCCTAACCCCTGGACACGCGTGTCCGCACACGTGACCACATGCTCCTCGCCTGCACGGACAGACACCACTGCGTCCTCTCCTGGCGCCCAAGCTTCAGCCCTGCGTCACCATTTCTCTGGCAATCACCTTCTTAGCCATGCTCCTTACTGACAGACAGTCCTCACTCAGGGGTCTACAATCCTGAAGTGCCTCCGAGGACCCTTCCCTTGCTCAGCTCTGCTTCCCTCCCAAACGCCCATTCAGCGCAGTATAAAATAAATCCAATACAACTATGGATCAAAAACGTTTAGTAGCCACTTTCAAAAATAAAGGAAATAGGGGAACCTAACTTGAAAAACTTATTTGTACAATCTAATATCCAAATAATATAATTCCACAACTGGAATCAACATATGAAATAAAAATATTTTACATTCTTCCTTTCCCTCATACTCTGAACCCCACACATGGATATTCAGCACAGCCGCATTGCAGCTAGCTGGTTGATGGCCACGGTCCTGGACAGTGCAGGTCCAGACTCTGTCATGACCCGGACTGCACCTACCTCACACGCTCCACCAGGCCAGGATTCCCTCCGCCACCTCTGCCCAGACCATTCAGTCGGTATGTGCGGTCCCAGGCCGTGCTCTAATCTACTGACTCATTCTTTCACTTTCCCTTCTACCACCTTTTAATGACCACTCATTTTTCACCTGGTGTTGACTGTTAACACCCTCAACTCTTACCCCCCTTTCCAAGCAAAATCCAAAGCTGCTTTAGCTCAAGGCGCTTGCCTCAAGCTCACAGCCACCCCCTTCACGGTCTGCCTGCACGGGGCGCTGTTGCCGCATTTACCAGAATTATCAAGCGCTAAGCCCTTGATATTCTCTAGTACCCAGGCTACAGACTTCCCCACCCTTGAGCTCCAGATCAGGCTTAGACATTTCTCACACTATTCACAGCCCCGTTTTAGATACCACTTCATCCTCTTTGAAGCTCCTCTGCCTCCGCTACAACCATGACTCCATTTCCCCAAGAACACAGAAGTAGCTGGAGAGCACCTGTCACCCCGCCAGGTCTCTTGCCCAATCTCTGTGGGCAGTGACCTGGCTGTTCTCACCAGCCCTGACCCCTCAAGAATGTTGCTCTAGCAATTCACATTCTCTCTTGCATCTTTACTCTTTCCCTGACTGGATCATTCTTAAAAGAGTGGTACCTTTTTCATGTCCTTTTCTTTATTTAAACACTATATTTTACCCTCGTTATACAGATGAGCAGAGTTCCTTCTGGGAGAATTTCAGCTAGTAAGTGTGAATGGAATAAAAGAAAAAAATAAGTAACTGGGCAATCACCTTTGGTAAATGAATCTCAAATTCTGACCAGGAATCTGACAAAGTTGATTCTGGTAGGGAATCTGACAAAGTGGTTGTCCCAACACAAACCCAGTGAACAATCCCCTATCACTATAAGTGTGATGACCACACTGTATATCCTCTGATGCAACATGGGTATTGAGTACCACCAGTGAAGAATCCTGTCAACAAAGTCACACTTAAATCAAGCTTTAGAGCTAACTTTACTAAAGAACTAAGGAGATACCAGAACAAGTTAAATGTAGCACACAGCTAGAAAGTGGGGGTAGCTTACATGACAACTGATCTATGTAGTAAGTCAATGTCATGGGAAGAGTGAGGCATGGATAAAGATTGCTTTGGAGCAAAAGGATGAGGAAATCTACGACTAGATACTAGAGAACATCAGGTGAGCAGCACTAACCCTGGTAAGTGTGGCTGCGCACTACACTGTTTGTATTTTGGGGAGAAGCAAATGAACAACACGCAGTATCTGGGACTCAGACCAGTAGCTAGGAGTTCTTCTCTGTCAGGCCCAAAGGAGCTGGCTGGGGCTTGACTCCCAACTAAACACTCAGAGAGAGGCTGGCCAGGAATGAATTTACCTGCCTGCCCCTGCACCTTCACCCCTAAGTGAAGCGGCCTAAGCCTTTCCAAGGCAGGGAGGGTATGGGACGGGGAAGAACTGACCAGTTCAGCATACTTCTTGCACAGAGCTGCCAGCTTCTCCTCTGGAGTGCTCAGCGTGTTCAATGTCTGCATCAGCAACGTGATCTCCTTTCCTGCAAAGAATAGGGGGCAAAGGCATGTATTCTTCTTCTGAGGGCCTCTTCCAGGCCTGGGCCCACACTGTTCAGCCTGAGGTGACACTCCCTTACCATATTTTATATCTGTTTGCTGTATGCTCACTTCATGTACTTCACTTGTGTACTTCATGAGGTCTGTGACTAACTTGATTCTGCCTATCATTGTGACTTAATTCTGTCCTTACTGCCTACCACAGAGGACATGGTGAACAAATATTTAGTGAAGTAAATCTCCATGGTGAGGGCCTCCCTGGTGGTGCAAGGGTTAAGTTGCAGCACTATGAAGCTATAGGAAATCACTGCAGCATGTTCTGAGTTTGATTCCCAGCCAGGGAACTACCCATATGGTGCAGCAGACCTCTCCTATATTTCACTTGATTTTCCTGTTCTGCTCCCTACCTGTCTTTGGTGAATTCTCTCACCTCTACACCTCTGGCCTGTAACCCAGTTCTTGTATGTATAAATAAATAAATCTTAAAAATAAATAAATAAACCTCCATGGTGCACAATGGAGCAGGAAAAAAACCTGTCTTCTCTAGCAACAGGTGAAAGAAAGGTGCCCCACCTGTGAATTTAGTGCCATTGTCTCAAGGTAAGCATGGCCCTACTAGAAAAGGAAAGGTCTACAAAAGGGAGTAAGGCTTCTTGAGAACTATTAAACTATTGTCAACAGAGAGAGCCAAACAGTGAACTTTAAAAATGAATGTAACTTCTTTTGTTCCCCAAAGATTTTATTTTTATTTTATGCATACAGAAATGGGGCCAGAGGTGCATATAAGCCAGAGGTGCAGGGGTGGCCAGAGGATTCACTAGAGACAGAGCGGGGAGCAAAACAGGTAGATCAACAAAATACACTGCTGAGGGGAGCATCAGGAGGGTCAGGAGAGGTCTATTGGGCCATGTGGGTCAGCTCCGGGGCTGGGGTCGAATTTGAACTGAAGCGGCTGCTGCTAACTTGCAGCGCCGCATCCTAACCCGTTGTGCCACCAGGGAGGGTCTTAGGGTCTTATTTTAGTTTTTAACCTTGATCTAGTACGATTCTCTTACTATAGAGAAGTGGGGAAAAAAAAAAAAAGAACCAGAGAGGAAAAAAGTTTTGCCCAACATCACCAATCGGGTTAGAAATGGTGCTGGCTGGCACAAAAGCCCACGAAGGCCTCCTGCACTCCATTTTCTCAAAGAGAACAGGTTGGATTTCAGATCCCCTTAGCATGTACAGCCAGGAGCCCTTGAGCAGGCAACAGCCCGCGCACCTCTGTATCTGGCTTTGCATAAACGAGGGTTACTTGCTGCTCTGGCAAATAGGGTTTCCTCCGAATCCTGGAACCCAAGGAGTGTCAGGTCCAAACTCCCTCCCTTAACGCGCTGCCCTCTGCTCACCCAGACCCTTGGCTTTCTTCTTCTCCTGTGGCCTTCGGTGGTCTCGGTCTCCAACCTCATCACTTGCTCGGATCTCGTCTGTGCCAGGGTCCCCTTTGGAAGTCTCCTTCTCACCATTGACCACTGGGGTCTCTGGCTCAGGCTCCCCATTCCTTGAGGCATAGGTCCGGGACTTCTCTGCATCTTCAGGTTCAGTAGGTTCCCCCTGTGCTCCATCCTCACCTGGGCTCCCCTGATTGTTGTCCAGGCAATATGTACTCAGGATGTCTTCCAACTGGCGGCTCAGTTCCTCAGAGACATCACGGAGGGCTCCGGCCTGAGCAGTCTTGGCTTGCACTCCTTTCAGTAGAGGACGAGGGGCAGAGTGAGAAATAAGGTGGTTACACCAGTGGTTGGGAGTTTTCAGGCTCTCAAGTTAAATGTTCCCTCACTTCTTTAAGCCTGTTTATCTACAGGACGATGTAAATTTCTAACAACTGCCTGATCATGTTTATTGTGAATACAGACAAATCAAAGAGCAGCCAGCGCACAGGACTGGCTTGCAGGAGCTCAAGGTCTAGTCTAATCTCCAACCTTCATGTCATTTTTTGCTATTTAAAAAATGTTCCAGGAATGGTTCAAATATGAAGAGTAGTGACCAATGATGGACAAGATGTTCCTAAGCTGGTTTGATGGTTGTCTCATTTGACTGCCATTGATTATAACTCTGTCAGAACATACTCTCAAGGGGGTTCCTGTGCTTGGGAGTGGGGAGGCCCTATCAATGCTCCAGGACTGGGCAGGATGGGGGGTATCACAGGGACGAAACATTGTCCTCTCTTTCAACATTTCCTCCCTTCCGGTGGCCTTGGCATCTAGCTGCAGACGCTGCACTGCCTGAGCACAAACTCCTTCCCCCGCCCGCAGGAAAAGCAGAGCTGACACACACCCTCTGTCTTCCCAGGAACCTGGCTGGAGGAGCCTTCAGCTTCTGTTGTGGCAGCAGGAGCAGCCTGGGTGGGCCGTCCCTGGCTTCCCTCTGGTCCTGCTTCCGGTTGCCCCGGGTGGCTTTTTGGGTTGGAAGTGTTGCCTGATTGCTTGGCAGCCCCATTCTTTTTGTCTTGGTTCTTCATTGTGGTTTGCAATGCTAGGTTAGCAGCAGGTCCTTTAGAAACAAACACACTTGCAATTTTCCAGACTTTCTCAGCCTGGCTCAGAGATCCCAATAGTGGGTGCCCAAAGCTCTTAAATCAAACTGGCCGACCTGCACCCGGTGGAAACCAACGGTTCTCCCTGCCTTTGCCGGAAAGGGGAGCCTGCGCCGCCCAGGTTTCGGGGGCGCTGCTCAGGAGTGGGGAGGCGCTACCCTCCTTTTGCCCGAAGGCACTTCCCGGCACAACACGGGGCCTGCCAGACGGGCCGGGCGCAAGATAGGCTTAGCCGCCTAGACCGACGTGGCGGGACGTTCGGCTCCGGGTCCCTCCCCGTCCCCCCCACCCGACCCACGTGGGGTCCCTCGCACGCGCGCGCGCACCCACCCACGCCCTGCGCGCCTCCGCCCGCCCGCGCATGCGCACCGGCATTAGTCCTGCCCCCCCACCCCTCCGCCCGACCCCTTGCGCTGAATCTGTGGGATCCCTCTCACTGGTCGAAAATGTCCAGGATCGCAGACTCTCTAACTGCTTCGTCCTTCTAGGTGCCCGCGTACGCACCTCACAGTCGACGTGCAGACGGCTTCGCCCGCTCTGGTCTCACACCGGAAACCCTGGGTAACCGCTGCCGGCAGAGCCTCCTGCTCCCGCCGCAGCCAATCAAGTGCAGCGCTCGCGCAGGGCTTGCTGGGAAAGATGAAGCGAGGCGGCCTCCGAGGCGGGAGAGTTGTGAAGCGGGGGAGGGACCGGACTACAAATCCCTGCATGCATCGGGGCTGACCCCCAACTCCCGAGATGCACCAGGACGGGACTCAGTCCAAGGAGCCGGATTCCCGGGAGGTGGGAAAGGAGGCAGACATTCGGCTCGGATACCCTCACGTCACCCGCGTCTCTACCGCGCTGAAGAAAGCCAGGCGCTCGGCTGTTGGCTACACGCTTCCGTCCCTTGCTGTAATAGAGCCATGGCTCTCTACTCCTCGGATGAGGCATAGACTACTGGGCTGGAAATCGGGAGACCCATACTCCGGGGCATCACTTTCCTCATTCAAACTGAAGCTTTTAATAACAGCAGTTGTTCCAGTGCCAACAGTGTACTTTCCCGGTATTTACCATAAAAATCTTCCGAACTGCTCGTGAAGAGAAGTACTATTTGTTATCCCCATTTTATGGCTGAGGATGTGAGGCAAAGTTTGGATGACTTGCCAAGGTCACATTGCTATTGTCAGAGCAGGAATTCTAAACCAGGAAATCTGGTACCACCTCCCATCTTCATGACTTTTCTACCCTGCCTCTTACTCAAAAGATATAATAAACAACCACATGGGATCCCTAGAGATGGGTCAAGCTAATGGTAAACTAGGTTTCTTTTAATCCCCCATTGGAAGAGGCGGAGGAGGCCCTGCAGGGAGTTTGGCATCAGAAGAATCTCCGCCTTTTTCTCGGACTGGCACACCCAAGTTCCAGTTGTATTCGGGCTAAAGGGGAAAGAAGCCAGACTTTTTCCCAGATGCAAGGTACAATTCTTTATCCAATTGCCTATAAATAGGGCGAAAAAATCCAACCGGTTCCTCTAGCATTTATATCTAAATGACTTGTTTCCAGCCAAACCTGCCTATGAACCTTTTGCCATTTTTTTTCCTTTGAGATTTATTTATTTATGCATACAAGAACTGAGGTGTAGTCCAGAGGTGGGGGTGGGGGGTAAAAGGATTCACCACAGAGTGGGGAGCAGAGCAGGAGGATCCACTGAAATAACACAGCTGAGGGGAGCAGCCTTGAGACAGGAGAGGCCTGCTCTGCCAGCTGGGATCCAGTGCTGCAGTGGCTGCTAATGATTGAAAGCCCCATGTCTGTAACCCCTGGGCCACCAGCGACTCCCCACCTTGCTTTTTTTTTTTTTTTTTTTGCGTCAACTTTCACTGTTTATCAGGATTTCCCAGGTTTTTGCAGATGCTATTTTAGTTCCCAAAATGCCCTTCTGGCAAAAGTGAAAAACAGCCCAAAGGTCACATCTCTAGTGCTTTTAAAGCCTAGCATCAGTTTGGGGGCAGAGTATATTTTAAATTGTTGTGCAAATTGGTCATTGTTTTAGTGCCAATAATGTTACTTACCCCAGCCTGACTTCCAGGAAGTGCTGTCTAGTCTTCCCCATTCTTTAGGCAGCGTGAAGTCTGAAGCTGTATTCATGTAACATTGAGAGATGAGTGTAATGGAAAAGATGAAGCTCAGGAAGATTTGGAATCTGAGACTTTGTTGAAACCAAAGCCCTGATTATTTCTAGAAAGCATGTTGGAAATCTTACTGGGAGGTAACATATAAACCATCCTAGAGTGTTGTAGGCAAAGATAAAGAAGAAACAAGGTATGCATGAAATGAGGGCTATGGCAAGGGTCCATAGTGGCGTACAGGGGTTAGCTAGGTCATGGGCAGGCAGGCCAGAATAAAACTATATAGAAAATATACTTTCCTATAAAAGGAAATAACATTAGCACCTGTCAGAGGAAATTAGGGAAATCATTGGGAATGGTGGCAATTGTGGTAAAATAGAGCTCTTAATAAATTGGAATTTATGATGTATGATTTCTAAGGGCCGTGGGGTGGTGCTGATCAAATATCAAAAGTTCTTTAGAGATAGTGTAGAAAATACAAAATAGTGACACAGTGCAAGAGAAATCCCAAAGGGGCACACTGAAACTCGTGGAGGTGAGAGATTTATCTTGCTTGTGGTAATGTTTCGTGGATATGTGTTGAAATTTATCAAATTGTACATTTTAAATGTGTCATTCATTGTATGTCAACTAAATTTCAATAAAGTGGTGTTAACAATTTCTTATAGCTGGAGCAGACCGTTGGAATTTAAAGTTCTTATAAAGCTATAATGGAAAGGCCACAGACTTTATATTGCCACTGTGTTGTTTCCCCTTAAAAGTGGTTATGGGGAGGCTGTTGTAATTCTTACGCTGTTAGGCTATATGTTTAAACACCTTCTTAGTTCACTTCTTAAAAAATCCAGTTGAGTCACTTAAAAGACGATTTAGAATTTTGCAACAGGTTTTTATTTTTGCTTTATTATCTATTACAGTGTTTAAAACCTAAAGAAATACACTTTCTCTTCAAATTTGGATGTGTATATAAATATCATTTGTCTGGACTCAGCACACTCAATGCCACGGTTTCTTGGCCTATGTCTGCTCTGAAATCATCAAGCTTTGTCTGTCTACCCAGGGGCCCTGAGAACATGGAAAAGAGCCAAAGTTTATAGTTCTTGGAAAACTAAAAGCAAATGAATTGAAAAGAAAAACCAGTCAGGAAAAGGGTTTGACCTTCCTAGGGTTTATAGCTGAGAACCCAGGCTGTTCTTGAGGCACATTCAGTCTATCTTGCATGCCTGGGATCCCATCCCCCTTGGCTTCTTCAGTTGTTCAGTCAGTTCCCATAAAAGATAGCCAAAAAAGCCAACACCCAAAGGTCCAAGGGTTTTCGTAGAGGATTATTTCTAAGTGACAGGTTCCCAGCCAGGTTCAGGCTCTGAGATCTGACATTTCTACACTGCAAGGCAGAGTTCTCTCTCCCCCAACCCATGGGTTGAAAATCTGACCTAAGTAGGGCTAGTGTTTAGCAGAGGGGTTCAGGTACGTGCTACTGTGGAACCCAAAAGTGAGGGAAGGCCCAAATAAACTGTAGACGTTTAAAACACTTCATACAAACCTTTCTCCTGGGGTGTTCTGGGCCCAAAACTGAATGCTGCCTCTTTACACTTGGTTTGGTTCTTCTACACATAGCACAGGCCTGATATAAAATGCCTCTTAAGAGTAAAAATAATAGCTTTAATTCACAGACATGGTTGGTATTGACTCAAATTGTTCCCTTGTCATCAACTGGGGGTGGTACTAGGGGACAGAAAGTGGGATGACGGATCATTTATGAAGACCTTTTGAAAGAGCAGCTAGTGTCTCCCATATATATATCCGTGTAGAGCCATATTCTCAACTTGTCGGCTTACTAAGACTCCCCAAGTTAAGGTGCAGAGAAAATAACTCTGTAAGATTGAACTAAAATGTGCTACCCCTAAACAGCTTTGAAGAAACCTACTCAGCACTTCCTCAGTCTCACACTCACTCCTAGGCTGCTTCTAACTGGCAGATGTTGCTACTGTTTCTACACATTTCCCTTGTACTGAGCCTCATACCCTCCTCCAGCCTGCAGCAGGGCTAACAGGCACCATTCCTGATGCCTCCGGCCAGACTTTCTCCCTGCTGGGTCCCTGTAGTGCCCACAGGAACCTGCAGAATCTGGCTCCCAGTCTTCAACCGTGAATCCTGAGTCTGAGCTCACAAGATGAATCTACTGAGGAACAGTCACGATGACACCTAGCTGAGTTGTCTAGGGGAGAACAAATGAGCCAAGGTCTCCAAAGTGGGGCATATGCAGGATGAGGTGGGAAGCGCTGCTGGGCCTCCAGTTTTCCTTCCCAGTTAGCTAGAAACTGGGAACTTTTAAGATAGGGGGAAGGTAGACAGAAAAAAAATGGAAATCCACTTCCTCCTACTGGACAGTGTTCATTTCTGTTTCTTGAGAGAAATAGAAAGCCAGTGCTTGAGAGCTTTCTTTCATTCTTACGTGACAAAAAGTACGGTAGCAGCTATAATCTGTGGTTCAATAACCCCAAATAAGGCTCCAGGAAGGTGGATCCCAATGCAAAGAAAATAGGAGTGGATCTAAGGGTTCTAGGTAAGAGGAAACACTAAGGGTCCCTGAAAGCTGAGGTTATCAATATCTGTTTCTTGGAAGGGTCATTTGTACCCACTGTTCCAAATAACCATGATGGCGAACCGAGGGGGGAAATCCATATGGTTCTACTCTAAGTTTGCAGTCACCGGGAGAGCTGGGAACTGAAGACAGGCTTCTGAGACTAGGGTTCTTATTAGTATTAGAAAAGATGATATGAGGGTGGGAATCCCAGAGGGTTGGCAACAAAGAACAGCTGGCACAGTTCAAAAACAGTCTGAACACTTTTAAGAAAAAGGCCCCTGTACCCTTAATCCAAACCTAGATACGTCTTACCCCTAACAAAACTTTACAATGAATACCCAGTCATGGGCCAACATCCGGAGAATCCAAAAACATGTATCAGAATATTCTCTACAGCATGGTAGGGAGTCCCTCCGTCCCTGCAATATCCATCCAGAAATTTGTCGCAAAGTCTTTGAATGCATCAAGGCCAAGATGTGACTGGGGGCTCCTCACTAAGACTGGCTGTCAGGCTTGGGCAAAGAAATAACATTTTGCTTTCCAAGATGACCAAAGGAGAGAAAACATATAGAATGCTACAGCCTTTATGGGCTGCAAGAATTTCACCTGTTGACTGAAAGGGAATCAGAGGAAGATAATGGAAAACATGGTCCAGGGAAGACACTAACAAAGGAAAGCTCCACTTTCTTCTGATGAGAAATCTGCCCTTCCGTCGTGCCCTGGGCTATTTCAGTCTTTTAAGTCCTTGGAGAAAGCTGACTGTATGCAGCAGACAGATCACAAAAAATAAAAATAAAAACAAATACAAACTTCACTCTGGTATAGGGCTCAGATCTGAAGTTAAAGGAGATTTTGCATGAACAGGTGGAAAAGCAGGATGTTTATGTCTCGCAATAAGAATTCAGCCCCAACATCAGGGGCTGAGATATACAAAGCAGATGTTATTAAACTGCTCTGCCCTTTAAAATGCTCTCCAACAAGAGTGTGAGGGGGCTTTCTTAGAAGTACAGGAGAAAAATATTGTAATGGAGTCAGCAGGCCAAGTGAAAATGGTCCTGCCCCCTTGCCTGCTGTGGGACTGGTAGGGCATTTGCCATACTGAATAATGGCATCTAACTTACTGAGGTGGCACAGCACTGGTGTGACTTCTCGGCAATCATCACTAGCTCCAAACTACCTTCTCAGAAACTGGGTCTAGAGTTGGAGCTCAACACTAGCACAGGGAAAATCAAGACCCATGGCTGACAGTGAGCACCTGAACTATATATAGATCTGTAGGCAGAGAGGCTATTTTACCTGAGCCAGCAGGGATGCACAGGAGTGGAAGCAAGAATGGCATGTTTCTGAGGAAAAGTATAGCTGGGGAGGGCACCTCTGATGGACCACAGGAAGAGGCAGCAGCTAGCCAGATTGTGCCTTCAGGTCCACAGTTGGGCTACACTTACTGACCGCTTTCTCCACCTCACCTCCTCATGCTGGACTTCACAGTCATATGTAATACACTGAAGCACAGGCCTGCCACTGAGGCACCGTACTAGTTTTAGTTGAAGAGAAAGAAGAGGCATTAAGGTATAATTGTCACAAGAAAGGGCAAAACCCAAACCAGATGCAAGGGTACCAAAACAGGGAAGGATCAGGAAGTCTTGTGAAAGTACTGAAGTTGCTATCTTTCTGGGACAACAGGAGAGACAGCAATGAGTGATAACTTAAGTGGACAAGGATCTCTGAGACTGAAGGTGAGATGGCAGACTGCTTTCTGATGTAAGCAAGATGCTCAGCAGTAAGGATCCGAATGGTAGACTTCACCAGGCCCTAGGCCATCCTTGTTCCCTTCAGACCAAGGCGGCCTACTGCATAAAGGCTTCAGAGCCAAGAGTTGGTCCCAGGTGGTAGCCCAGAATACAAACAGAGAAGAGAAGGACCAAGCTCAGACCTGAGCAAAGAGCTTCCACATCTCTTTTTGGTCTCCCTCACAGTTTCCTACTTACAGAAATTACAGACAGTTCTTCCTCTTAAGACCTACCTAATATATAGAATATAAAAAAATACAGAACTTTTTGACATTCTCTCCTTTGGAAGTAAAATATACATGATCCAGCTATGGAAGAGGAAGAAGAAAGGCCAAAGGCAGGGATCCCTGGCTATCCAAATACATGACACTCTCACTCCAACCTCCTCTGTAACTTAGGGGTCACCAGAGTAAGGACTTTCTCCTCAGGAGAAAGGAAGGACCACACCCCTGTCTCATGCTTAGGAGAAAATACAGCTACCTCAGAGAGTCATCCAACTCTGAGGGGGAATTTTCAAGTAAACAAATGAAGTTGGGTCGCACCATTGGAAGGTGGGCAGGAAACATTGGATCAGTAGCGACACGTGGGAAGCCCTGTCTGAGGCCTGTGCTCCTCCCCTCCATTCCCACTCGTATGCTTGTTCCAGGAGAAAGAGGGGCTCTCCCAAACTAGAGAGGTCTGGGCAAGGGGTTAGAGGGAGAGGTTTTTGTCTCATGGTGACCTCCCCCCTCAGCCTCTAGTCCCAGACAATGCTGGCAGTTGGGATTCCTAAAACCAGGAACTCATGGCTCTTGGAAAGAGCAATCTTAATACAAGAAAAATGTGCAAAAGAAAAAATTAAATAACTCAATCCAAGCATACAAGATTAATAGTCTGTCAGAGCAAGAATACTTTGTTTTGGATTTCTCCCCTCCTCTCCCACCCCCCCACCCCCCACCTCTGGAATATTCCATCTGCTCAAGTACCCAAGATAAGAGTTACACAGATCAGGGCAGAGGACTGGGAAGGATGAAGGGAGATAAAAGGGAAGGAAGTCACCACTAAAGAAAAAAAAATAATAAAAAAAAGGTGCAAAATTGATTACCTCAGTCCTCCTTTATCTACCCCTGGGCTCCTGGGTTAAAGACATGTGTGCAGCCAAAATATAGTGTAAGGAAGAAAAACCCAACACGTCCCCTTCTTGTCACAAAACCCAAATGTGAGCCTCAGATGGTTCTGTCTGTCCAGAGGGTGCTCCCTCCAGGGAAGGGGGTGGGGCAGGTCAAGAGCACAGTCTCCAGGGCAGCAGAGGTGTGTGGTGGCTGATGGTGGGGGGCTGGTTTCCGCCCACCAGAGGGCTGCTTTTCCGCTGGTTGGTGGTGCTTCCCATCCCCTCCCCTCCCCGAAAGCAGACATTATAGCTGGAAGCCCTCCATAGGGGCCTCGGGCTGCTGGAAGATGAACTGCTGTTGCGTTTCATCCACTTGGGGAGCCAGGCTGCTATCATCATCTTCTACACCAAAATAGTGCTCAATAAGGTCAAAGGCCTTCTGGTAGATTTCCTGGTTCTCATGGCTCTGGAGAAACTCAATTTTATCCAAGCCTGTGGTGACAAGAAGAAAGGAGGGAGAAGAGTAAAGTTAAGAGTGCTCTGCCATGGGCTGAAAAGTATTTTTCTTTCCCTGAGCTTTGCTGGTGTTTACAAACACAAGGAATCTGATCTGATCTCTCTTTGGCCTGTGGGAAGAAAGTTAACATCTTTCCCCAAAACTATACAGCCTAATAGAAAGAGGCCAAAATGCTGGTTATAAACCACAGGTTCTAGTTCTGATTCTTTGTTTGATTATCTGCATGACCTGGGAAAATCATTAGCCTCTCTGAATCTCTCAGAGATAAATGATAAGTCAATCTAGCATCCTTAATGGAACTTAAAAGAAACTAAGCTGAAAACATGCCTTCTACTGTCTAACCTGTTATCAATTCTGAATTTCCATTTTTCCATCTGTACTGTAACTACAAACTGGTAGTGCCTACCAGAAAGAGATCTATTTCACCTTAGAGGGAAAAGGAGTGGTGGGATATAATCTTGTATTCAGTGATGGTATTCCACCATACACTCTCCCCCTCCATATACTCCCCCCCACATACGTGTTATACTACAATTTTGGAAGTCAGCAGTAGGTAAATTCTGACCTAAAATCTATCAACTTAAGGCAGACATGAGGCTGTGGAGAGGGCACATACCATAGGCTTCCTCAATGAGGCCACAGTAGGGATTGACCCCTGAGCCACTGCGCTTGCCCTCTTGTTCTCCAAGTCGAAGGATGTTCTCCAGTCCGTTGAGGGCCACTTGCACAATCTTTGAATCCATTACAGTCAGCAAGTCACAGAGGGGTTTGATGCAGCCCAGTGAGACCAGGTACCTGCAGATGAGAGAACAGGTTAAGTTCCACATGAATGTAGGGCGTGGGAGATGCTAGGCAGGTGCTGTGGGGCCTGTGAGTCTCCCTCACACATGTCAGTACTTCCAGCAGTCCACCCTCAGAACAACCTATCCTTTATCTCAGTCTCTACTCTCCAGTACTAGTGGTCTAGTTCATTTCCCTGTGGAAGGTTAGGTTGTGGAAGGTTAGGTTGTTCCTTATCTCAGTTAGTCTCCTTGCTGCAATATCACCACTGAATTTCTCTGCTTACAAATTTTCACAGTTCAGACCCTCCCTGTTGGTGCAATGGGTTAAAGCATAGCACTATGACACTCTCTGAAGTCACTGCAGCAAGAGTTTGATCCCTAGCCAGGGAGCTGACCCACATGGTGTGGCAGACCTCTCCTGACCCTCCTGCTCTTCCCCTCAGCGGTGTATTTTAGTCAGTCTGCCTGTTCTGCTCCCTGGTGAAACCTCTCACCCCCAGCCCCCTTACCTACACCCTAGTTCTTGTATGCATAAATAAACAAACCTAAAAAAAAAAAAAAAAAAAAAGATTTGCCAGAGTACCTGATTTGAATGAGCTATAATAGCATGGCTCTCTTTTATTTGTAAGGATGGTTAAATACACCGATATAAATTCTCAGGAGGGTAGGAAACAACAGATGTCTGTTAGAGTTTTCATTCTCCAGGACATGATATACAGGAACCTATTTTGGGTTCTAGTGTCTCTCTAGCCACTTGCCAATTAAACCCTATTGCATCCCAACCAAGGCAGACCCATTGCAGGCAAAAGCACTTTAGAGTTTAGGTGTAAACTATGAATCAAGAGGGAAGGCACACATACCACTAGAGATGATGGAAAGGGAAGTACCTGATCTGCTCAGGGGTTCCTCCTGATGTAGCATTAGTGATGGCCCAGGCTGCCTCTTTCCTTGTACGGAACTCTGCTTTCTGAAGGATTTCGATCAATACAGGAAAGATGTTTGCATCTATGACAGCCTGAGACAGAATTTGGGGGAGAAGGGAGAAGTGAGTCTCTTCAGAGGAGAAAGCAAATCTGATTCATAAGTCAGCTAAAATTTAAATATCTTCCCCTCTGAGGAGCTCTTTGTTTTTCCCATGTAGGTGAGAGGTGACACTGAATGAGTGACCTTTTACACACTAATTTCTAAAGGTCTTTCTTCTAGTAGCAAATACCCCACAATCTTTCCTGTCTCTGTGCCTCTCCACCTGCCACTCCCCACCTCCTTGTTCTACCTGTATTTGAGCCCTGTTGCCAGCAGTGATATTTGAAATGGTCCAGCAAGCTTCCTTCCGGATTGACTCCTTTGGGCTACTCAGCAAATGTAAGAGGCAAGGGAGGGCAGAACAGTTAAGAATGACCTAGAACACCAAAAGTACAAAACAAAAATCAGGTAACCTTAAGCAAAATTAAAAACATTTTCACATCAAAAGATACATCAACAAAGTATCAAAGATGAAGATGCAGACATGGGTTGTCAGAAAACTCATGACATATTTTTTATTTTGAAAACAGAAAAAAAAAAGTGTCATGACTTTTCCGACAACCCAATATAAAAAACCCCTTGCAACTAAACAAATTAAACAACCCCATTAAAAAAGTGGGACTGGAGTAGAATATTTCTCCAAAGAAGATAGACAGATGACCAGTAAGTTTACAAAAAGATGTCAAACATCAACAATTAAGGAAATAAAAAATCACAGTGAGATACTACTTTATACTTTTAAGGTGGCTACCGTAAAGGAAAAAAAACTAACAGAAAAAAGACCACTGTGCAAAACAGTATGATGATTTCTTAAAATACTAACCACAAAATTACCAGGAGGGGAAAAAGAGTAAAGATCCAGTAATCCCACTTCCATGTATATAATCAAGAGAGTTGAAAGCAGGGTCTCCTGATACTGGTGGACCAGTGTTCACAGTCCAGTGGACTATGGCCTTAGTCACAATAGCCAAAGAGGAACACATATGACCCATGTCATCAATATATGAACAAAATGTGTTCTACGATTATAGTGGATTACTATTCAGCTATAAAAAGGACATATGCTACAATTTGGATGAAAAATGAAGCTATTCTGTAAAATGAAATAAACTGGTACAAAGAACAAATATATATGATTCCAATTATATGTGGCACCTACATTGGTTAAGCTCATTCTTAAGAGGAAATAATATGGTGGCTGTGAGGGGCAGAGAAGGAGAAACGGGAATTTATAATTTAATGGACACAGTTTCCATTTGGGATAAGAAAGTTGTAGATCTGGAAGGTAGTTATGGCTGAATAAAATGTGAATATACTTAATGCCACACAACTGTACTTGGTTATATGGTAAATTTTGTTAGAAATGTTTGCATCTGTGCATGCACAAATGCCCCAGGAAATTGAGTGAAATTACCTTAAAGGAATTTGTCAAGAATCTCATAGAATTATGCAATTACTCAAGTCCCAAAGAATAGCTAGATCTCCAGCCTTTGAAGAGAGGAACCCTGTTCACTGTGCCCTCACTAGAGATGTCATTAATAGGAGATTAATATGAGCTAGTGTCCATGGAGCCTGAGACTTAAGAAGCTGGGATGAGATTCCATAGCTTTTAATATCTTAAAGAGGCCATGACCCCAAACTCACTATCAATTACCTTACAATGTTCCAAGGAGTAAGTCAGGATATATGGATGATGATTTACTTCCAAGTATAGAGGAAATGAAGGAAAACCCAAGTTGCCCATAATCATATTACAAAGTGGCAGAGCTGGAAGTTTTCGCTTAAGCCCAGGCTTTTTTCCCCTAGATCATGCTGTCTGCCAGCATGGTTTTGTCTGCAGTTTGCTCTTCCCCTTACCTGGGTCTGGATGTCATCTCCGGTGACAATGTTGCCCACAGCTCTTAGGGCAGGAGAAGCCACTTTGTAATCGTTGTGCCTGCAGAGGAGGTAGATCTGGTCAGTAGAGCGTCTAGTCTCCCTGCACCGTACTATCCCTGCTGACCGCCAAGGCTGGCAGCGCTCCCCTGGCTGCAGACCTTGATAGGGCAGCTGACTGCAGTTTTCTGGGCATGAAATAGCTTCGGAATCTGTACCCTTTCTAACCCAGACCACTCACATTAGAAGTTCTACCAATCTCCGACAGACTCCAGAGTCTATGACCGCCTGTATCTTCTCATTGGGGCCATCAGAGAGATAAGAAAGGGCCCAGCAAGCATCTGCCAGCAAGTCTGAGTCACTGCTGAAGAGTAGGCGAGACAACACAGGCAAACATGGGGAGACCTGTTGGGAGCAGAGTGGAAAGGATTTAAAGGGGGACAGGACTACAGCAGCTCCATCACTAGTTTAACATTGCTGCCCGGTTTGTCCAAGTGATTCTAAGCACTGGCAGCCTCTACTACAGTAAATGCTTACGCATTACCTTTTCCCATTCCAACCCAGGCACATGAATTCAAGTACTTCAATGACAATCACCTCTTTTACTAGTTTCCCATGAATTGCGACTCCTAAATACTTAAAACCCCCATATAAAAATTCCTGCATATAAGCAACTTGTGTCCACTCAGTCTTCTCACCTTTGCAAATTCTGGGGGTGGGTTCTTCCCTCGGCAGAGATTTGACAAGGCCCAGACTGCATTCCGTGTCATTGTCAGTCGTGTGGACTTGGTAAGGAGTCTGAAGGAAACAATAAACCAGACCCTAAGGTGTGACTCCCTTGGTATAGGGCTGCTGACAAAGAATCCCAGGAGAAATCTAGTCAGGCCCCCAAAACTCACTATTTCCTCCCATCCAAAGCTAAGTTAACTGAGGGTGTTTGGGCCAGCAGGCCACCCTACGCTTTCAAAGAGGATCAATTTCATCTGTGGCTAATTACCACGGCTAGGGTGAGGAATTTACCCATGCAGGAGGAAATGACTTCCTGTGATGGGTGTGATAGAGTGGTAGCCTATGAGATTCTGATCAATGAAGAAGAGTTCACCACCTGTTTTGCTTTAGCTGTAGCTCTATCTGAGGGTATGAGAGAAGGACCCAGATGATCTTTCATATGGTCTTTATCTGAGGTTTACAAAGGAGTTCTTTAATACGCCCATGTGTAAACACAGAGCAAATCAATGGATTCTGTAGAGAAGTTCTTATTTGTCTAGATGGTTCCACAAAGTTATCCCTTTCTTTCTCGGATCAACAATGATGTATATATGACCAACATGAGGTTTTAAAAAATCATGAAGAGAAGAAATACAGGATTCTTTTGGCACAGACCAGTGGCACAATCTTCTTATTGTCAAAAGGCAACTATCTTTTACTTTGGGTTAAGTTCAGAATGCAAGTTCAGCATTTTTGTATTTACTCATCACCTTAAGGTAAGCTGCCCCCGAGAGAACTGCCACATGGCTGCCTTACAGACGCAGCTGCAGATGATCCAGGTGCAGATGATTATAATTACTCACGTTAACAAAGGATTAAGGATGGAACAGTTCAAGACGTAATCTCGGCAAACGGAACTGTCTCCAGCTATGTTTCCCAGTGCCCAGACTGCCTGAAAAGGGATGATCGAACTATTACTCACAGAGCCTAGTAACTTCTGTGAATACTTTCTACACACAACTACAGAGTGAGCACTCACCAATGACCAAGAATAAAACCAAATCAAGACCTGATACACATTCAACACACTCAAATACCCTCCTTATTGGCATCCTTACTAAGTACCTGCTTTCCTCTGAGTTTCTGGATAAGTGAGGAAGGCAAGTCCATATATATTCTGTAGCTACAGAAGCCAAACGAAGACACCCCATCAACCAAAAGGAAAAAGTTCATTCTGTGGCCTCTTAGTGGTGATCATTTTTTTTAAAGATTTATGGGGGTGGGGAGTATGTGTGAGGGAGAGCACGCGCACATTTGTGTTTGTGTGTGTGTGTATGTGTTTACCAGCGTGGGGAGCACAATAGGCGGATCTCCTGAAATACACTACTGAGAGGAGCCGTGGAAAAGGTAGAAGAGGTCTGCTGCGCCATGTGGGTCAGCTCCTTGGCTGGGGATAGAATTCATGCTGCAGTGGCTGTGGAATAGCTTCATATCGTAGTGCTAAGACTTAATCCTTTGTGCCAACAGGGAGGTCCCAAGTACTGATCTTTTTTTTTTTTAAAGCAAAGGTTTTATTTATTTTTTAAAAAGATTTATTTATGCATACAGAACTAACTAGAGTACAGAGGTGCAGGGGCAGCGAGAGGCTTCTCCAGAGGCAGAGTGGGGAGCAGAACAGGCAGATCAACAAGTACACTGCTGAGGGGAGCAACGGGTGAGACAGGAGAGGTCTGTTGCGCCATGTGGGTCACCTCCAGGGCTGGGGATCGAACTTGGAAGAAGTCTTTGCTCTAATTATCTGCAGGTACTTGAAAATACTACCTCTCACGCTAACAATCAGTTCTCTGACACCAATTGTGTAAGCCCAACACTTCTATTCAATTCTGAGTCAACTGCTAAGAGTTAGTACAAATCCTACAGGGCAAAACCTCTCTCCCATTTTAGATACCAACTGTAAGCTGTAAAAGTGCAGTTCTTACAGTTCCCCACAATAGGTCCCATAATGTAATAGAGCAATTTCACTCAGGAAAATTTACTTACACATTATCAGCTTATTATAATAGATGCAACTCAGGAAAAGCTAACTGGAAGAGAGGCATAGGGCAAGGCATGATGGGGAGAGCAATGGGGTGGTGCAGAACATCTGTGCCCTTTCCAGACACATCACATTAATGTATTCACCAACCTGGAAGCTGATGGAATCATTTCTAGCTCCCCTAATATCCCTGGGAGGATGAGGTAGAAGGCTGAAGCTGAGAGTTCCTTTAACCCTGTAACCTTATGCTTGGTCTTTCTGACGACCAGGCCCTCATCCGTAGACTACCTAAGGCCTTAACCCAAGTCATCTCATTACATCATTACAGTGTATTTCAAAAGGACCCATTATAAAAGACCGAGAGTCTCCCTGGTGGCCTAAGGGTTAAATCTCAACGCTATTATCGTTGCCTGAGTTCAATCCCTGGCCAGGAAGCTAACACACATGGCTCAGCAGAACCTCTCTTGTCTCACCCACTGCTCCACTTTGCAGAGTATTTCGGTAGATCCACCTATTTTGCTCCTCACTCTGTCTCTGGTGAATCCTCTCACTCCTCTGGCCTATACCCCAGTTTTTCTACACAAAAATAAGTAAGATAAAATAAAATGAAATCAAGGTTTTTGAGATCTTCCCCAGGAATTAGGGACAAAGGTGAAATAATCTTTATAGTACCACAGAAAATTAAGCCAAATTGAAGTATTACCTGTTCTTGTACATCTTCAAAATCCGAGTTAAGCAGCTCTATAAATATGGGGACAGCCCCTGCTTCAATGACAATTTTGGTCTGCTGGGAGGTTCCAGAGGCAATGTTTGTTAGTGCCCAGGCAGCTTCAAACTGAAAGTGAGATTAAGCCATGATTAATTGGTCATTCTAGCCAGAAATACCATGCCTGCTGCTGGCTCATAAGAGTAAGCTTCTTTCCCCTGCCTGAAAACCAACCAACCAACAAATAACACAAGTCTTCTCTTCTCCCTGATGAAGATAGAAGGAAGGGAAACCAGCAGTGATGTAATACAATGGGAAAACAGAACCAGGCTGCAAAGGCCCAGGTCCAGGCCCGTACTACACAGCATTTGTTGAGTCCTTGGCAAGTCCTGAACTTTGCTTAACTTCATTTCTGAATGGACCATCCCTGAATCAGGATGGTTGTCTTAAAGTCCCTGTTCAGCTGAGCTTCTAGTTAATGAAAATGGATTTACTCATCACCCGTTTCTGAGAAGAGAGCCAGACAGGTTAAATGATTTACTTCAGGTCACACAGGTATGTTGTGGACTGGATCTCTTGATTTATAACAGAATGAGCAATATATAATTTCTGGTATTTTTCCTTTGATATCACTTTAAGAAAAAGATTCTGGTTCCCTTATTTGAGACTAAGACCTCTAAGGCAACTGTAGCTTTCCTTAAATGTTCCTGTTATTGCCTGCCTATTTCCTGAGAGGTGTGCCTGCTGCAATTTCTTGGAAGGAGGTCCTTCACCTGGTACCCGTTCACCCCAGGCTCACCTGTAATGTACAATTCTCATTCCTCTTAAGAAATTCCACAAACCGATCCACGACTCCTGGAGTATTGATGACTTCATCTATTGGAGGACTAGGCTCTGAGAGAAAAGGAGAGGAAAGTCAGGGGAGGTTTTGACAGATTCACTCCCTGGGATCAGCCTAACATCCTCCCTAGATACTCCTGACCATGCTTATAATCATTCCAACTCCCTTCTGAGGAGGTGGTTTTAACAACAGCTCATCATCTTGGAACTGGACACTACAGCTGGGCTCTAAAGAGTAAAGCCACACTAATTTGAGGGTGCCTACTTTTGATTTACTGAACTGAAGCAAGTCAGAAAGGAAGGGAGACATGGGATGAGTAACTCTAGTCCAAACATTTCCCTTCTAAGATCATAATTCTTTTCTTAGAAGGACTGCTTAATATACCCAGGCAAGAAATATTTTTCTGAGACAATGACTAATGAGCTTGTAACAATGTCTGACACACTGTCACGTTCAAAGAGCTCAGTGTTAACTATAAAAAAAGGGAGGGGGGCATTTTTCCTGTCATACGTTAAATATTTATAGGGCATGAACAATGTGTCAGACACAGTTGTATGAATTGAGAACACAACAGTGAGCAAAACCAAAAGTCTGCCCTTATAGAACTTACTACCTAGTGAGGAGCACTCCATTATGTCAGAAGGTAGTAAGTATAATGGGAAAAAACAAAATAGGTAAGGTAAGAACAAACAATGTAAAGAGATTAAAAATGCTGAGAGGTGGATGTGCCTGCTGCACGTGGGTCAGCAACCTGGCCGGGGACTGAATATATGCTGCAGTCGCTGTTGACAGCTTCATAGTGCTGAGACTTTAACCCCTGCGTTATCAGGAAGACCCCCATAGGGTAAGTTTTATTGAGAAGGTAGGATTTCATCAGCAAAGTGAAGAGGTTGTCACGCAGTGTCTGCAAGTAGAGGATATCAGGCAAAGGAAACAGACCTCCAATAGACAAGGTTAAGAATGTGCTTGGCTTATCCAAAGAACGCCAAGGCCAACAGGGATATAGCAGAACAAGCGAAGGGAAGTAGTTAATGATGACAGCGAGAAGACTCAAGAAACTCACTCATGTAGGACCTCTCTAGGGGAGGACCAACTCATATACCTTTGGAGAGCAGTTTCCGGAATTTCTGTGTGGTTGCCAACTGTAGGTCAGAATCATCAGAAAAGAGCATCTCCACCATCTCTCTTGTGATTACACTCTCCTAGAACATAAAACAGACTCAAAACTTTGCAAACTGACACATCACCTGCTTGACATCCGGTATTATGCAGACTCCAGGGCAAGAAGATGGGCTAATAAGCAGGCTCAGAAGAAGGTATTTAATGCATGGCTACATCACAATGGGCATCTGAAAGTGATTCTACCCTGTGACAACCAACTGAATGTTTCCCTTAGGTCCTTCCTTAGGGGTCTCCTTGTTGGCTCCAATGGAAAAAAGAATGTGCATGGTCTCAGCAGCAAAGCTTCCAGAGGATATGAACTGTCTAATTTCTGTTCTGTAGAAGTGGTACTTTCCAAGCCTAGTCAAAGTACATGCAAGGGACTTACCCCAGTGGTAGAGCTCACATAGGAATCCATGAGGAGACTATCAAACATGGCAGCTTCTTCATTAATCAACTCCACATTTCTCCGTTTAAAAAGCTGAAAATAAAGAGACAGGGGTAGGACTACTCATTGAAACAAAGAAAAAAAAAATCAATGACCCAATATAACTGCCAAGGAAATGCTAGCATTGGTGAGAAAATGCCAAGCTCAATATACTGACACTGAAAGAAATTTAAGGGCTTTACTTTGTTCCTTTGTAAGTGCTTGCATTTTTTAAAGAATATTTTTATAAGCAAAAAGGTCTTTAAAGCTATCTATGCCTCTCTGTATGGAAGGTGGTGGGTATGAAAGGTTTTGGAGGAAAGAATAATGGTAAAGCAAGAGGGTGGGCAGAGCAGGTTATGTGACTGCACCTAGATCTGGGCAGGGCACTAGTGTGATCTGCGGGAGGGCACAGGTGAAGAGACTTTAAGACAGTCTTCAATGGAGACTTACAATGTATGGACTCAAGAAACAAATAAGTCAGCAGATAAACCTCTTATTAAAGAAAGGGTCAATCTTGGAGCTGCTTACACTGAACAGAGGGTGATGAAGAGATGAAGCAAAAAGGGTCTAGATCTAGAATGCTCAACATTTCTTTAGAACAAAGAAAACTGGATGAGTGGCCCACAGAGTTAAGCTACTTTCCTTAGAGGAAGGTGAAAGTATAAATAAGATGGAGGCCAACCATAATAGCTGGATTGTTTCCCTGAACAATGTGTTGAGAACATTCCAGTTAACCCACTTGTTGCTCCCGTTTCTGTTTCCGGAGCTGAATGCCCTCTTCTTCTCTTCTTCGTCTCATTTCTTCAGGATTTAGGGCATTGTTCTTATAGCTTTTCATTCGATAATTGTCTTTTCCTGGGCTCGCCATGGTCTCTAGAAGGAAAATACAAATACACTGGCAAAGGCTTTCAAGAGGACAGCATTTCGTTTTCACTATGTCTGTGTCTCTACCTAGCCTCTCATACTCAGGGAAATCAGAGAATCTCAAGGATGCTTAATAATCTCAATTAACGCAAGTGAGGGCCTCCCTGGTGTCACAAGGGGTTGTCTCAGCACCATGTAGCTATTGGCAACCACAATAGCACGAGTTCAGTCCCTGGCCAGGGAGGCACAGCTGACCTTTCTTGCCCGCTGCTACCCTTAGCAGTATAGTCAGTCAATCTGCCTTTTCGGCTCCCCAGTTTGACCCCAGTGAATCCTCTCATTCCCCACACCTCTGACCTACACCCCAGCACTTGTATGCATAAATAAAATAGATGCGTAAAAATAAACAAATTCAAGCGATATCTCTAGTACCACCCCCACCTCAACACACACAACCTCCATTATCATAAAAACTTGTTAAAGTTGCTTTATAGCAATAGATATAAGCATAGTAGTGAAGTGTGGACTGTGAAGCCAGATCATGTGGGTTTCAAATGCTGGCTCTTCTACTTGTTAGTTATACAACCTCCAACAAGGTGCTTTAACTTCTGTGCCTCAGGAATTCATTTCTAAAACAGAGGCACAACAGTTCCAATTTCATAGATATTAAAAATATCAAATGCAAAGTAGGTTAACACATGTGAAGTACTACTCACAACTTTGCTAGGCATACGGTGAATGCTCAAAAGTTATGATCACTTCCATGACAAATGAAAACTGTTGTATGCCTTTTCCAATATATCAGATATATTTAATCTAGCCAGCTGAAATACATTATAGTATATCCAATTCAATGGAATACCACATATCTTTCTTTAATGTCCATATGGTCAGCATCTACTTTTCAGATGAAACATATGTCAAGTTACTAAGCAAAATAATACAATGAGCATCTGTAAACCCATCACCAAAACTAAGGACATTATCAATATGCTCGCATCTGCTTGTTGGCACTCCCTAATTCCAAGCTCCCCAAATTCCACTCCAACACCAGCCAGAAGAAAAACTGCTATCCTGAATTGCCATTGTCTTTCCTTCTACATTTATTAATCATGTATATAAACACACATGCACACACACACACACACACACACACACGCACCCTAAATATTTCACTCAGCATAAAGTCCTTTCTGTTCTTTCATGTGGTCATAAATGGCAGGGTTTCTTCCTTTTGTTTGGTGACTGAATAATTCTATTGATTAAACAAGACAACCATATTTTCTTCCTCCATTCACCTGCTGGACACTTCATACACAAGTTCTCTCCAAACCTTCACCAGTACTTATTTATGTCTTGTGTTTTTGGTATCAGTCTTTCGAACAGGTGTGAGATGATATCTCATTGTGGTTTTGATTTGCATCTCCCTGATGACTGGTGATGCTAAGCACCACTTCATGTACCTGTTGGCTATCTGTATGTTTGCTTTGGAAAAAATGTCGATTCACATCTTTTGCCTGTTTTGACTGTCTTTCACTACTGAGTTGAGTAAGTTCCATATATCTTGGTTATTAACCTTTTATCTGATATATGGTTTGCAAGTGTTTTTTTAAAAACCATTCCATTAGGTTACCTTTTCATTTGTTGACTGTTTCTTTTAGTTCCATTTCTTTATTTTTGCTTTGTTGCTTGTACTTTTGGGGTCATAACTCAAAAAATCACTGCAAAGACCCAAGGGTTTTTTTTTCCTATATTTTCTTTTACAACTTTCATGGTTTCAGGTGTTATGTCCTTATTCCATTTGAGTCAGTAACATCTTAGTCTTCACTTTCCAGACATTCTGCGACAGTCTGCAGATCACACCTTAGAGAATAGCCACTCTAGGAATAATTACTGAGTTGTAGGCAGGTAAATGCTAAACTTGACCACTTAGTAGTATTTTGCCTTCTAATGTAATGCCAACTCACACTAGCTTAGCAGTATATAACAGGTTCCTATTGACATTAAGACCTATTAATTGGATTTCTTACTTGTGCCAATTACTAAGTTTAATAAGGCATTTCATTGAGATAAAGATATACTACACAAATTACTAAAGAGGTTAGATTTCATCTTGACTAGCCATGTTTCTTCTGTGAAATGTGCCTGAATATTTTTCAACTGAATTATGTCTTTTTCTTATTGATTTGTAATAATCTGAGATAAAGATTTGGAGAAAGGGAATCTTAATATACAGTTCAATTTTCACTTTCTGGAGCATTTTAACAATTTCTTAATTATATGTTTTGTTTTAGTAAATCCTTTCATGCTTCCAAGGTCAGAAAGATAACCTCTTCTAGAAGTTTTAGAGCTTGCCTTTTATGCAAGTATTTCATCTATATGTAATTTATTAAATGTCCATAATGCCCTGTGAACAGTCAACTGTCCTAGCATCATTTACTAAATCACCTTTCCTCTCCTACAATGTCATTTCTGTCAATTCGTGGAAACTTAAAAGACTTAAATAATACAGTTAGAGGATGCACACTTCCTTACTTCATAACTTAATACAAAGCCACAGTAATCAATATAGCTTGGTACTGGTACAGGATAAACATATAGCTCAATGGAGTAGGATGGAGAGTCCAGAAATAAACACACATATCTATGATTAGCCAACAGATTTTTTGACAGGAGTCTTAAGTCCATTCATGGGATAAAAATAGTCTCTTCAACAAATTATGCTGAGGAACTAGATTTCTGGGTCCAAAAGAATGAAGCTGGAGGAGCCTCCCTGGTGGTGCAAGGGGTTAAGTCTCAGCACTATGAAACTATCTGCAGCCACTGTAGTACAAGTTAGATCCCCAGCCAGGGAGCTAACACACAAGGTGCAGCAGATTTTTCCTATCTGGCCCGCTGCTCCCCTCAGTACTGTATTTCAGTCAGTCCACCTGTTGTGTTCCCCACTCTATCTCTGGTGAATCCTCTTACCACCCCCTGCCCTAAACCCCAGTTATTATTGTATTCATAAATAAATAAATCTTTAAAAGAAAAAAAAAGAATGAAGCTGGACCCCTACCTTATAGACATACACAAGTTAATTCAAACTTGTTCAACAATTTAAATATACAAGTTAAGGATATTAAACTCTTAGAAACAGGGGTAAATTTCTATGATCTCAGATTTGACACAATAACGGAAGACATTAAGAAGAAAGTGAAAATACAACATACAGAATGGGAGAAATTAATTCTAAATTATAGTTCTGATAAGGGTTTAATACTCAGAATATATAGAATTGCTACAACTCAACAAACAACCCAATTTAAAAAGCAGGCAAAGAATTTGAAAAGATATTTCTCCAAAGAAGACACAGGAATGACAAATATGCACATATTAAGATGCTCAACAGGGGCCCTCCCTGGGTGGCGCAGCAGGTTAAAGCACAACACTAAGAAGCTAAAGCCACTTCAGCATGAGTTCCACCCCGGAGGTGACCACATGGAGTGGCAGAACTCTCCTGACCTGCCGGCTGCTCCCCTCAGCATGTACTTCGTCAATCAGCCTGTTCTGCTCCCCACTCTGTCTCTGGTGAATCCTCTCACCACCCCTGCACCTCTGGTCTGTACCCCAGATATGTATGCATAAAAAAAATAAATCTTTAAAAAAAAAAGATGCTCAACATAGTCACAGGGATGCAGATCAAAGCCACAAAAGATATCACTTTATACCTACTAGAATGCTGTAACAAAAACAAAAATCCCCAAGTGTTGACAAAATGTAGACAAACTGGAACCAGGTCACCGCTGTGGGCATATAAGGTTGTGCAGCCTCTTAAAAACAGTTCCTCAAAAAAAGAAACAGTGCAGTAGGGGGGTAGAATCAAACACTGAATTACCACCTACTCATGCCTAGTATACAGATGACTCTTGAGCAAAATGCATTTAAACCGCGTGTGTGGGCCCTCACTGGTGGCACACCTGTTAAAGCACAGCACTGAGAAACTCTCCGCAGCCACTGCAGCACAGTTCAATTGCCAGCCAGGGAGCTGACCCACAAGGCTCAGCAGACCTCTGATCTGCCCGCTGCTCCCCTCAGCAGTGTACTTGGTCAGTCTGCATGCTCTGCTTCCCACTCTGTCTTTGGTGAATCCTCTCACCGCCCTGCACCTCTGGCTTATACCCCAGTTTTGTGTGCATTAAAAAAAAAAAAAAAAAAGAGTAGAGTAGAGGTTACCAGGTGCTGGGGGAGTTCTTGATTAATGGGAACGAATTTTTTTTCTTTTCTTTTTTAACATGAAGATTTTATTTTTTAAAGATTTATTTATTTATTCATACAAGAGCTGTAGTATAGGCTGGAGTGTGGAAGAGGGAGGGTGACAAGATTCACCAGAGGGGAGTAGAACAGGCAGACTGACTGAAATACACAGCTGAAGGGGAGCAGCAGGCAAGATAGGAGAAGTGGCTGCACCATGTGGGTCAGCTCCCTCGTCAGGGATGGAATTCGAACTGGTGCTGCAGTGGCTGCCGAGAGCTTCATGGTGCTGAGACTAAACCTTGTGCTAGCTGTACAACAATGTAAATGCAATTAATGCCACTTAATTGTATACTTAAAAATTATAGCTAAAATGGTGACTTTTATATTTTACCATGACTTTTTAAAAATTGTAGTAAACCTTTCATTAAATGGCACAGACTATTTTCAAACTGTTTCTTACATTCTGTTTTTGTCTATTTGTATTCACTCATCATGTATTAACACATTGGCCATATTTTATGTAACTATTTATATTACCAGATTTTATTATTTTTTGTGTTCTAGATGTTCTGGCACTTATTGGCTTACCAGACATAGGGAGAAACTGCCTCTGCAATGGCTAACACCTAAAGATAACTTGCTAAGAGCATGCCTTTGATATGCAAATTAAGTGATTCAGAGACCCATCTTCCCTCTGTCTGTAGACTCAGGAGGTAATATTCCTCTGCTTTAATCATTCCATAATCAGTTATTAGGCAATTAGAGACCACCCT